CCCGTTGGTGTTGAAATTGACCAAAAAATCGACCTGTATGTGTCGAAAATTGCCGGCGGGTTTCAAAAAAAAAAAACTTCAAAATCGACTTCGAAGCTCAAAAAAGACATCGATACTTACCTTAATGTGTTCTCCTTTCATATATACTACCATATTATTGTCTTATAACTCAATTTTATACGTTTTGTGAGGTTTTAATTTCTTTAGTTTTGAGATTTTTTAGAAGGGTTTGTTGTGAGATTTTTTAGAAGGGTTTGTTGTGAGGAAGATTTTTTAGAAGGGTTTTTGGGGAGGGAGAAGAAGGAGGTGGAGGAGGGAAATGGTTTTTTTGAGTTTTTGATTATTTGGTATTTAAGAAAGAAAAATAGTATTTGTAATATTTTTTTGGTTTTAATTTTATTAAGGGTATTAAAGTAATTTACAATTAATTATTTATTTTTTATTTTTTTGGTATTCAAGTAAGCAAAAGTTAGGATTTGAAATAGTAATCCCCTAAACATAACTTCCTTCTTGTATATAGTTTGTTTCATGAAACCATACAGCTCACAGAGTTGCGACAATGGCTTATTGTTCAATTAAATTGAAGAGACGGCGATCAATGCAGCAGCATCACCCAACTAGGTACAAATACGACAGTCGAAATACGACAGTCAAGCTCGTCTTAAAAACATTTTCTGGTACTAAAAATTGCATACGATTTCGCTTCGATACAACATAGATAGATAGAACTGCTAATAACTATATATGCTTATAAATACATCAACATTCAGATAGCTGCTACTTAATGTTTCGTGCCAACAACGCAACGAGAGAGCAGTTAAGATAAAAGATTTTTTGTTCATATATATCTTTTTTTTTTTTTAATCTTCCCTAATCGTTTTTCCGGGGAAGAAAAATAGCCTCGAGCAGTAGGGTTTCTACACTTTATCGTCGTGGAACCACCATCTCGTCTCCTTGGGAGATCTGCCATTCTTACAGTTCTTCACATAGCGGTCATTATCAGCTGGACGTTGCTGCGAATTTTAGACAAGGAAATAAAATTAACGGGATTGTTTGTTGAAAAGTGAGAAGCAAAAAATTGAATCGGGATTGAATTTCAAAATCTCGAAAGAATTGGACAAACCTTCGCTGGGGAGCTTGACAACATAGATAGAATGCTGATGCAAACCGAACTTACAGTCATAGCAGGTGACCAAGAGTCGTATAGAATATCTGTACAAACACATTTGGAAGAAAAAACCCAGAGTAGCTATTCAGTGCAGTTGTCTCATAAACAAAATACTAAAAGAGAAGGGGAGTCAATTCCGAACCAAAGAATTAATTATACAACAGAAAAGATCGCCACAAATTAAAAAGAAAAAACCAAGAAACTAAACTCTATTCAATCACAATTAGATCTTATTACTGCATTTAGCTGCTGGTAAATTTTGACAAAGAGATATTGTATCAAGACCATGATGCTTCAACAGTTCAAAGGTCACTCATTTAGCAACATAATGACCAAACAGTGCACTCATTGAACCAATCACCAGGCAAATATTATGCTAGAATACAAATTATTCGAACCCAATACTTTAGTTCCTCAGCTTTCACTTCTACGGTCTCAAAATTATTACAGTGGCTTTTCCCACAAGGGATAGAACAATATCTTCCCAATATCCGCTTGGCTTAGACCCATTACCACTCTTACAGAAAGGGTGCACAACTCCAGCTAATTTAGCCCTTTGCCATGTAGTAATAAGGGCCTATCTTCAGCTTAATGAGACAAGATAAATCAAGGCCCAACCGGGTAAGCTTTAATTCTTGCATCAGATAGCTGAATATTTGCCATTCAGAATTGAATACAAACAATTCCTTACGTGTTTACTAGAGTTTCATCCAAAACAACATACTCGATCCACCAAGTTCCCAACTCGTCTAGAACAAAGCTTTAGTTAAGCCATTAAAAGACATAATAGTGCGGGTTTATACCATTACATGTCGCAACAGACAAAGGTGACGGTTTTTCCTAAATCTGCCAATCCCAAGGCAACTTTTCGTACTGTATTTACAAATTCCTCTTCTACTCATGAAAACACTGCATAAGGCAAATGATCTTTCCCTCTAAACTAATTGCTAAATTTTCAGAAACCGAAAGATCAAAATTTCATTTTCCTCGTTCAATTTTCTGGAAGTCGTGAAATATGCATAGGGTACTTCAGAACTAATTCGGGTACCAACTTTAAAACACCGTTAATTTACATTTTAAAGACGAGATGAATTGCTCACTTTCAAACCATAAGAAAGAAAACAATTAAGCAAGATAAATATCCAACGAAAAACTAAGTATATGTATATAAAAATCGAGGGGCAAAAAAGGTAGCAGAAATCGAGAGAGGATGGAAAACAAACCTAAACAAATATGTCCATTACTATAAATATGAGGATGTTGCGGAGCTGGAGGAACAAATATAACCTGCAGAAGAAAATTGAAAAGTTCAACCCAACTAAATAATGCCGTGATTTAACAGTAACAGTTCCACGAGTATCACTACAAACACCAGTCAAACCCTAGAAAAAAAAATTTCCTAAAATCACATTGCAGATTGCACACAAAACCATAAAATCGATAATCGATAAAGTCTAAAGTATAAACCTGCGGCGCTTCCATGGGGTAATGCTCCGGAAAATCAACCTGAAGCTGATACATTTCGCCGGCATAAAGCGTACCCGGCGCGCCGTTGACTTCAATTACCCATCTAACAAGGCCAAAACGCAATCAATCACTCAAAAAAATCCCTGATTTTCAGAAATATCCAACAAAAACGAAGAAAATTGATAATTCAATGAAAAGAGGAAAAATAAAAATTAAAACGAACTTTTGAAGATTATCAGTAACTTTATGCTTGAAACCGTGGGGCGGATTCACCTGCCACTCTACCAGCTCTTTCTGCAGACGATTACTTGCGATCTTGCTCAACGCCTTCTCCCCCAAATTTCAATTCCATAAAATTAAAAAAACAGATTTTTCACCCAGCAAAAATAATTAGTTTGTAAGCATATGAAAAAACAGGTAGAAATCTGAGTAAAATTGAATAGAGAAAACGACCTTGCGTGAAGAAGCGGAGGGTGTGGTCATGGCGTAGGGGAACAAGACAAACGTCAGAGAGAATGTTTCGAGAAAGTGAGGACGAAGCGATGATGGATGATGATGATGCGTTTCTAGTGTGGGTGGTACGAAAGTTATGGGGTTATATTTTCCGGCATTTAATTTAGATTCTTTCATAATTACTTTCTTGCCATCAATGACAGTATATTTTTTTTATTAATTAAAAAATATAATCAAAATGTGAAAAAAGGAAAATAAAATAAATCCGTATCGATCAATTTAGATGCGGAGATTGTGCTCGGTGTAAAGGGAGCAGCAGATCCAACGGTCAGTTCTGCTCCACACGTGTTGTTGGTGATGATTGTTCACTCGTGACTGTGTGTGATTGACAATTTTGACTTGTCTTAATAACCTTTCATATAAGGTAAATTAATTATCTTTTTATGTTTGGAGGAAACAAACAAACGCAACTCGCAGTAACTACGATAGAACGCGGGACCCACCGCCTCATCCCTACGACAAAGGTATAAATACAATTTTCAAACACAAAGGGAAAGACTATTCTCCCGGGTATTTCTATTACACACATTCTTATTATATTTCACAAATGTTAGTATTTTACAAACCTTTATTCTACAATTAAAGAGCTATTTCTATAATTAAAAGTTTCTTAATTAAGTAACATCAATTAAGAGAAAAATTTCATCAAAGATGCAGGCTTAGACCAATATCTGTGATTCCCCAACCAATGTTGCATGTGTACTCCAATAGCGTCCAGATACATGCTGCTCCTCCCGTGGAACCCCACCACCTTCCCCTCTGTCGTGCCGGAGGCGAAATAAGTTCCCAACTCTTCACCAAACGGACCGTATTTCCTTCTGCTACTGTGAAAAGTCAACGACTGAATCACCTTCGTCCCCTGCTCTTTCTTGATCGGACCATAATACCCACTTATGCATGTTAATACTTCGTGTGGATAATCTAACTTCACCTGTGAAAAAAGAACATAATCGAACAAACAGTTATCAACAACATTTTGTGTTTTTTGACATATGGTTTGGGGGCCGTGGCCCCCGTACGGCTATGATGCCTTCACAACTGACTCTGCTATACCGAATTGCTAAAAAACTCCTCGTATTGTAAATATTTGCAAAAAATCTTATGATATATTTTTTTAGTGGACAACTCCTAAACGTGCGCTTTCAGGGAGTAGTTTGCTAATAAAATTGAATCGTAGGGGGGATTTTGCTAATATTTATATAACACGGAATTTTTTTCTAACAATTAGAGTAAGCAGGGGTGGTGCTAACTGCAATAAACGCTTATTTTTTGTTACCCGATTTGCGATTTGTCCACCGCTGCCACCATGCTTGACAGACCAAACGGATTGCCCGTTTCGATCGTACTCGATTTCTACACAACAAATTGCATCCGTTTTCGACAGAATGATTTGTTTAATCCCGGTGAAAACTCCATCATCCCAAGCTTTCCCACCTTCCCCGCCCCACGGGCCCGGCCCGTATGGAACTGGATCCTTCACCAGCTTCTGCACAATCTTAAAACACGATTTTCGTACTCTAACTGAGCCCATGTTTTAGGTTGTTATAATAAAGAATTTTGCTACTAAAATAGAAAGAGAAAAAAAAAAAAAAAAAAAAAAAGGAAGAAGGTGCTATTTTATCACCTGATTTTTGGCTTCATGAGAAATCTGAGGGAAGAAATTGATTGGTGGAGAATTATTGCGATGTTCGTCTTTTTGTCTTATAGCAAAAATGAGATCATAGTTTGGTCCAAGACTTCCTTGGATCATCGAGTATTCATATGGTTTGTCTGTACCGTGGGCAATATATTGCTGAGAGTGATGATGAATGTAATTTGAAGGAGTGTTATTAGGTTTATTAAGGGGCTCCACGTAAAACCCGAGAGAATTTAAATACCAGCCGTACTTTCCAAGAAATCCGACAATCTTGCCATGCATTTTAGGGAAGGTAAAATATGTTCCCTTTTCAACTCCAAAAGGTCCATATGTTCTTTTGTTGCTGTCAAAAGTAAGCGATCGAACGAAAACCGGTCCCAATTCGTACAAATTACCATAATGTCCATGCACTGAAGTTAGGAACTCATTTGGGTACTCAAGCCTCACCTGATCAAACAATCGTTTATGTCAATTAACATGAATCAATCATATTATTCATATAAAGTATTTTTATGTGTGCGCGCGCTCGTGTGTGTGTGTGTGAACTCACCTTATCAATTTTATCACCGCCACTGCCACCATGCTTTTCTGACCAAAACGATCTTCCATCAATGTCGTACTCGATTCTGATCGAGTCTATACCAGCTCCATGGGAAATCTCCAATTGCCTTATCGTGGAGTACACACCATCATCCCAATAAAATCCGTCTTGGCCACCCCATGGCCCACCCAATATAGCCTGCTTTCCAAAATTACATTCATCAACTATAGAACTCATCGTGTAAATAATAATATGCATAAACATATAATCATAAAATACACCGTCACATACCATTTCTTTTACAAATTTGGAGCTGTAAATCCAAGAGATACACTCGATACACACTAGAGATGTAAATGCCTGAATAAGAGAGGTAGCAATATATAGAGAGATATATATACACCACACATATACCTGGTGTGCTCGAGTTTTGGTAAACAATGTGTTACTGGATGCTTGTATACTATAAACAGCAAGTGTTACTGGATGCTTGTATACTATAAACAGCAAATTCGAGCTTCCACTTTGAAAGGAAAGCATTCAAAAGAAGAGAATTTGATTCAAAGAAGACGAATCCTGCTTTACAGGAAGTCTGTATGCAAGCTTAAAATATTACGTGACGACATTAAATTGGATCTTCCAGCAGATGGATATATATATATATATATATATATATATATTAGATTAACAAGTTCAGAATGTTCTGATTAATTCAGAATGTAAAATTTCAAATTAGTGGGGAACTGATTCTCTGTTTCTGTTACCAATATAAGAAATTTTCTTTACAGCTGGTGAAATAAACAAAGACTAATTACACGGCCAAGTTCTTTAGCAGCCAAAGTGCACAGAAGCATAAAGTGTTTTCACCTAATGTGGAAAACAAGAATCGTTTTCTCTTTTCCCGTTTCTATTTAATGTGACTATCTTTTTCTTTTTTATTGGAAAAGAACGCTACGTGAATTCGCAAAAACGATTAAAGTTTCTCAAAGTTGATCCAAAAAATTATACTGCAAGTCAAACTACATGGATTTGAAACAGTGTAAAAGCCCCTTCATATGGACAACGCCTCCATTTTGAATTCATCGACAACACTCTGCACACAATAATAAACAGTGTAATCAATTTATTTAGCAAATCTAGTATCTTAATTCTAACTCAAAAAAAAAAAAAACGATCGACTAAAAAATGTGGATGTTAGCAAAGTTCAAATTAGAGACACAAACTTTCAAGCTCATCAACATACACTTTAAGGAACAATAACATGGTTCGTTTTCTCCGCAATCTCGACAAAACATTTGCCATCGAAATGCATGGGAAGTACCATAAAGTCATGAAATCTATCACCACCTGATCACAACAAAGTTTTCGGTTTTTCCTCATGTCAAAGCTCAAAAGTTTACTATAAATAATCCTAATCTATTTTCTAATTACATCACCATATATATAAAAAAAGGCTTAGATGGGGGCTATTTACAAACAAGAAAGAAGATCCAATCATCAATCGAAACAAACAAAAACATAAACATACGAGCAAGGGAAAAATCACAAATATGTTGATCAAAATAACCAAATCCCACAATTGAAAGCAAAAATTCTCCTTCCACACGTCCATTGAGTAACATTAGGTCACTTGTTAAAGAGAAAAAAAGATCACAAAGTAAATAACATTGAACATATAAATTACATTACAACTTCATGTTTATTATCCATAATTAATGATGAATAAATGACAATTTAATAGATGAACTCCCATACCAGCTGAAGATGGAATATTCAGATTCTCCCATATCCAACTCTTAGTTAGACATTTCCGCGAACTGATTGAGACCCACTGTCACTGTGTGAGAGGAATTAGTGGCATTGTGGTGAATGCAGAAAGGAACCCCATTTCATGATTATTGCTAATTTTAGTCTTGAAGGATCCTCCCACCGGCGCCGGCGGCGGAGTCGCCGGCGTCTTCAATTTCTGAAGATTATTGGTAGTAGTAACTTTAGGCTTCAAAAATCCCATGGCCGGCGGATTCGGCGGCGTTCTCAGCAGCCGATTGCGATGGATCTCGTTCAATACCTTCTCGTACAAATATCAGTTTCAAACTTAGAACAAAATAATCAGCGACGATGCATAATTGCATATACACGCATACGTATAATGCTCGTAAATTAATAAATAATAGTGTAAATTACACATTACACCCTGATGTATGCCAAAATAACTTTAAGGTACATGTAGTATCGGTAATTACAATCACCCATGAAACATTGTTAGAAACCCTAACGGAATAATGCATAGGATAAGTTATTACACTATAGTTATAATGACTATTAGTTTCAGTCAGTGATGAAGAAAACATAGAAATAGGAGAGGTGACATGATATTCCTAACATTTCTTAAAGGCTGCGGGTATACGCAATACTAATTTCACTTGTGCAAGACCAAATTAAAGAAAGATTCCAAAAGATTCTATTTTATTAAGATGAAATGACAAATATACCCATAAATTAACTTGGGTTTTGTTTGCTCATGCAAGACCAAATAACAAATAATAAAAAAATATGAAACAACTAAATTTCAACATTAAGGTGTCGAATATATGTCCATAAATTCGACATCTTAATGTCGAAATTTAGTAAATTTTGGACTAATTTGCTAACAATTAAATTTCGACACTAAGGTGTCGATTTTGTACTCCAAAATCGACATCTCAATGTCGATTTTTACCTACAAAATTCGACATGTACATGTCGAAATATGAAACAACTAAATTTCGACATTAAGGTGTCGAGTATATGTCCATAAATTCGATACCTTAATGTCGAAATTTAGTATATTTGGACTAATTTACTAACAATTAAATTTCGACACTAAGGTGTCGATTTTGTACTAAAATATCGACATCTCAATGTCGATTTTTGCCTATAAAATTCGACATGTACATGTCGACTGCGTCTGCGCGGAATTTTTTTGGAAAAACGTATTCTAGCTAAAAAAACACATAAATGCATAATTTCTTGGATTATTCCACCGTAGATTCTTTTATTTTGATGTCTTATGACTCCATACTTGCCATCTTTGTAAGATTTGTTGAGTTTTGATGATTTTGAATGTTTAGGTTTTGTGGGTTTATAGATGAGGAAGAAGAAAGGTTTTGACGGAGAAGATGAGAGTTGGTCTTGTGGTTTTGTGATAGGGTTTTTTTTATTTTTGAATTTTTTGTATTGCACATTTGGAATTTTCTATTTTTTTAACAAGTAAGGGTATTATAGTATTTATATATTGAAAATTTTAATTTGGTCTTGCACAAGTGAAATTAGTCTTGCATATAGCCGCAGTCTTTCTTATTTTATATAAAATTTAGGGTAAATTACAAACACCCCCCTCAGTTATGGTCAAATTACAAAAAACCCCCTATTGTTTGGATAATTACATCTACCCCTCAACTATGATTGTTTCTTAGACTTCCACCTTTATGGTGCCAAATTCAATACAGTCATCTAGATTCCGTGAAATGTGCTTAGTTTGTACTCGTTTTGTGTAAAAAATACAGTTTTCGATGCACCACAAACTGATATATACAAGCTAAAAATCACATATTATGATCATCTTGCTTCATAATGTAGAGTTTGGGATAAAACAGGTACAAAAGTGATAATATTCCATATAATCTCGAAGATTCCAATAAATTTGAGGAGTTGAGGGGTGGTTGTAATTATCCAAACAAGAGGGATGTTTTTATAATTTGACCATGCCTCAGGGGGGTGTTTGTAATTTACCCTAAAATTTATAAATTTTCATCTATGGTAGCATTAACAGCCCCGCTGGAAACAAATATAGTGCATATCGGTCCCCGGGACATGAAATTTTGACTTCGGTATTTGTTTTAGGGGTGTGGCTGGAATTACCAATACCACAGGGACCTTACAGTTATTGTAGTATATATCAGGGGTGTAGGTATAATTTAACCGAATTATTGCGCCTGATCAGTTAATTAATTGGGCCTATAAAATTGAAAATGACCGCATATAATAAAAAGCCCATTTAAGACGAGAAAGCCCGAAGGAGTGTAAGCACGTGGTTCATAAGCTTCAGATAAACACATTTCCACGTGTAAAACCCATCACCACACCCCTCCCTTGTTTCTACTCTACACAAAAATCCTCCTCCGCCATTATCCATCCACCACCGCCGCCACTACCACCGGAACTTTAATAATAATCAAATACCCCACGGCGGAGCACGAAGATTTTTCCACACTCGAATCTCTTATCTCCTCCACAAAATTCCACATTCTCAATTATTTCATTAATTCACCAATTTTCCCAAATCCTAACCCTTTTGTCTCTACTCACTCACTCAATAGCCATTGATTTATCTTCATTTGAAGAACTACAAAAGAAAAAAAAAAAAAGAAAAAAAAAAGCTTTCTTTCTAAATTCCAATGGCTTTGCCTCAAATCCTACATTCCCCTCAATCTTCATCATCGTCTTCCTTAATTCCTCACAAACCCTACTTAAACCCCTCTTCCTACACTAAAACCGCCGTTAATTTCTTCACTCCTCCCCACCTCCGCCGCCAGCGGCGGCGCAAACCTAACTCACTGTCCTGCTCCGCCTCGTCGTTCTCGGAAAAGCACCACACAAACCCTCCGAAGTCAAACGACGTCGTCGAGCTCCCACTCTTCCCCCTCCCGCTGGTCCTCTTCCCCGGCGCAATCCTCCCGCTCCAAATCTTCGAGTTCCGGTATCGGATGATGATGCACACCCTCCTCCACACCGACCTCCGCTTCGGCGTCATCTACACCGACTCCGCCACCGGAACAGCCGACGTCGGCTGCGTCGGCGAGGTCATCAAGCACGAGCGCCTCGTCGACGACCGCTTCTTCCTAATCTGCAAGGGCCAGGAGCGCTTCCGAGTCACCAAACTCGTCCGCACCAAACCCTACCTTGTGGCGGAGGTGACGTGGCTGGAGGACCGCCCACCCTCCGGCGAGGTGGAGGATCTAGACACCCTAGCCAACGAGGTGGAATCGTACATGAAGGACGTCATCAGGCTCTCGAACCGGCTCAACGGAAAGCCGGAGAAGGAGGTTCAGGATTTGAGGAGGAATCTTTTCCCGACTCCGTTTTCGTTCTTCGTCGGGAGCACTTTCGAGGGGGCCCCACGCGAGCAGCAGGCGTTGCTGGAGCTCGAAGACACCGCCATGCGGTTAAAGAGAGAGAAGGAGACTCTGAGGAATACTTTGAATTACTTGAGCGCTGCTTCTGCTGTTAAGGATGTTTTTCCATCTTCATAAACAAATTTCGAGATTGTGATCATCGTTACCGGTAACTATTCGGTATATACGCCTAATACACGCTTGATTACTTTCGTGGGGGGGATGTATAAAACTTTTGATGTCTAAATAGCTAAAATCGAGTTCGTTATCCGGTTATTCATTTCTGTTTTATTCCTTTGCCAAAATTCGTGGTGAGATTGAATCTTTTGAAGCAGGGGATGTGATTGTTCTATGTTGTAAGATTATGTTATACAGTCGAATCTGCTTGCCTCGATTGTTATATATTCTTGTATCTATCTTCGTTCTGCCTTTACGGTTGGTTGTATGCAAGCTAATTTATGTATGTTGCAAAAAACAGGTTATTTAGTTAAGCTTCAATGGGATTTTGATACGACTGTTTAGTTAAGCTTCAATGGGATTTTGATACGACTGTCGCGTTTCTATTCTAGGTCGAAATTGCGTTCCGGTGATTTAGAATTGTTCGTTACTGTTTTAGTAGCCGGAAGTTCTGTTATATCGTTGGTTTAGTTCAATATAGAGAAGCTTGCGCTGAGCGATGAGATCATGTATGTATTAGTTTATGTTAATCGAGGACTTGTTTCGTTTAGGCATTTAATTCCGGTTTAGCATCAGATGCCACGACCCTCGTTAATGATTTCTCTATCTCTCGGCAAGGCTGGGCTTTATATCAGTTCAAATCAAATCTCCGTTTTTCGAGCACTCGGTGCTGTAGCAGCATCTGTTCTAGGATGGTGAAAACGTGGATGTTGTATCTGTTTAAAGAACCGAACGAAATAAATGTTGATTTAAGTCTTGAATTTACAATCACCAGATCGAAAAGCACATCATTCGACATTGAAAAGAAAAAAAGAAAAAAAAAAAAAAAACCGACACCGCTATCGTAACTCCAGAAACACCAAGAAATGCCACAATATACATTTAAAATTGTATCTGCACCAACAAATTACTTCACTTGATAGACTAAAAACTATCTCAGTTCGCGCAAACAAATCCGTGTACAGACCGATATCTTCTATAAGTTAACTATACGTACGGTGAACCGTGATTGGCCGAATATAAGCATGATAGCTTCAATAAAATGGCAGCATTATTACAAAATGTGCTGCTGTAATAATATAACCCAAGTGTTTTGATTAATCATCATCTATCTGAGAGCTTTTCAACCATCTAGCTTGCAGAAAAACTTTTCTTCCCCAGCGGCTTCGATACCGTAGTATTCCCACTCTTCTGCAGTAACGTAATTCATTTAAAGTAATCGAGTAAGTTGGAATGGTAAATAAATCGAGCCACCAAGGCAAAAATCAAGAAGCAAAAAAACACGAAATCGATTCGAATTAGTTACCTTGAGGCATAGATTCTTCTTAGTATCGCAAACCGGATAATCATGCGGGCAACAATGACGATGGTCGTCACAGCACACAGCAGATTCCGCCTCACAGCAATTCCAACTCAAACAAACCCCAAGAAAATATCGAGCACAACAACAAGTTTCGCCGCTCGAGCAATACGTGAAAATATTACACTTTGTGGGACCCGGTGTAGGTGAAGGCGGAGGATTAGTGCTCGATTTTACAGGATAAGATGCCAGCGTATTAATCCCACAAACCCCTTCTTCACTCCCACTGTTTCTTACCATATGCATGTAGCCTTTTATTCCCCACGATTTTCCCCACGAATTCTTTATAATCCAATAGTCTTTCCCGTCTTTTGAATCGTACCCAACAATTAGTACTGCGTGATCCAAAGAAGTCGAACACGGCCCTGTAAATATCCCCTGATTTTTTTTTAATTCAATTTTAAATTAGCAAACTACGATAATTTTTGTTTCAACGAATATATTAATAAATAATATGTTCGAAAATAGCTAGTACCCCTGAGTAAAGCTGGAATGACGAGTCACTACCACATATACCGACGCTGATAGGTTGAGTAGCAACGGCTTGTAGAAGCTTCTTCTCGTCTTTTTCCGGAATATCGACATAGCTATCGATGGTCACAACATGCTTGTTCATCTGCAACGTAAGTATATACATATATTGTGTAATAACATTAGATATATTCTCGACAAATAGTTCGAAAAGAGAAGCCGGATTTTTTTAATTTACTTTGTTTTTGTCGCACGTTGCACTACGGCCTTTATAGGAATAATCCTCTTCGGTGTCAATTCCTTTGTTTTTAATTATGAAGTCGTAAGCGTAGTCCATGAGTCCTCCATTACAACCGTCGTTGTAAGATTTGTCACAATCGATTAGCTCTTGTTCGGATAGGCTGACAAGAGATCCCGTCTTGATTTGATTAATGCCTTCAACTGCTCCAGTAGCAGAGAACGACCAGCACGCGCCTTCGCAAAAAAACACACGAGCGAACTTTTATTACCGTTTCTTTTCTTTTAATTGCAGTACGAAATGTTAATAATCCCCAATTCTTGTTTCATGCCAAAGAATCCGAAATTCAGAATTAAAGACAACACACCTAAATAGATAATTCGAAAACCAGAACGAAAAATCATCCATTTCATAATCCAACCAACCACACTAAGGTGGTGTTTGCAAAAGCTTATTAAAAACATAAGTTAGTGATTGCGAGTTAAGTTAATATTAAGTGCTTAATTCTAAAAGTTGGGGGTGTTTGCGAAAAATCTGGAAAATCAATTTAAATAGAAAAAGCAGGTACATTGGTGCTTTTAAAATTATAGCTTAAAGCAGCTTATTTTAAGAGAACCAAAAGCAAAATCCGGTTTTGCATACACCTTAAAAACAGATTATCTGAAGAAAAAAAAACTCATAATCTATTTCTAAAAGCTTTCGCAAACACCACCTAAATACGATTCGCAGTAAACAAAAAACTAATCTTTACGAGTCGAAAACAGGATATACTACCTCAAATGCAGATACATATCATTAGTTATTATCAAAAAAATCGAACATACATATATAAACGGTAAAAGAAGGACGTTTTTCGTACCGCAACTGCCCTGATCTTTGACAGCAGTAACAGCTCCTTTATTCCTCCAATCCAAAGAAGATGGAATCTCAGATTCCTTGATCAAATTATCCCCATCAATTGCAGAAGCTGACCTACTGTTCAATCTGATAACGGAATCGCTTTTCGAAGGCGAAAGCCCCAAATAATTAGCCCTAAATTCATGGTTAGTGAGATCAGCAAAAGCATTAACGGAGAGAGTGTAGGAAGAATTAGCATCTGCATTGTGCTGATTAACATATTTGTAGTTCTCATGAAATACGTTCAGCCGGTGCTGCTTCTCTTGCTCGGAAGCGTATGTTTTACCGTATTCTTCACACCAGCTGTCGAAAAGATCGGAAATTAATGAAGATTTTGATATCGGTAATTGCGAAAACAGCATAATCAAATTCAGGAACGACCATAACAAATTCATCGTATAAAATTATTTGATTTTTATTTTTATTTTTCTGATTTGACTTGGGGTTTCGGATGCACGGGGAGCTTGTCTATTGGGATCTGTAGCTTTGTTGTCAGATGATAGACCAATCATATATTTATTTACTTACAAGAAGAATAGTCTATTTACAAAGTTTTTTTTTATTTTTAATTTTTTGAGATTAGATAAAGTTTGGATCTTTTAGTTTCTTGGCAATAAATGACCAGTTTTTCTAAGTTTATTTGAAACAGTTCTCTCATATTTTATAAATTGTTACATCTTATTTTTAAGTGTTTAGATAATTGTATAACGATCTTATTAGCTATTTTTAATAAATAAAACTATGGGGTGGATTTATTTTTTAGAAAAAAATCTAATTTGCCCTTCTGGTTTAATTTTTAAGATCTTTTTAAAGAACACTTTGAAAGATATCATAAGCTATTTAAAAATTTATAAGCTGCTTTTAACAGCTTATAAACTTAGCCAAACACCTATTTAGGCAATTTGGGGGCTTTTTTTAATTTTTAATTTAGGTATTGAAACTTTATTAAAACGGTGCTTTGAGATAAAAGATTGTTTTGAATAGTAAGCTGAAGAATAGTCAGCCCAAGTTGAATCGGGCTTTACAACGTGGACCACACTATCAGGGCCCAAATATCACGGGCCCAATATATAAATAGACAGATAATCAATCTCGATAAATAAGAGGCCCATAAAAATCGGACACAAAACAAAACCATTTTCGTGGGATTAATTATGTGTTGGTGAAGCAATTATTTTTGTCAAATTGTTTTCGATCGGTTAAGGTCTCGTTCGATTTAAGCAATTAGCAAGTTGTTAATGAATTATGGCAGTTCGATTTTTTAGGGAAAAACTTACAAACTGTTGGAATATCGAAGCTGGCCGGATGGGATGATTTTTGCCTGTCGTATTGCGCGATTTTAGTTGGTTTTGTTTTCGGTTATGGTCTCGTTCGAGTGTTTATCGACTATGTGGCGTACATTTACATTTTTGCCTATGTGTGTACGTTGATTATGTAATGTAGCAACATAACATGGTTTACTGAGATTATTATAATTAAATATGTGTTTTTGCTATTTTATTTTATTAATGCTCTGTTATATTAATATTGAAGTGATTCGATCCTGTGATCTGTGTTGTTGATCAATACTCTTGACATTCCTGCTGCTGCTGCAGCTGATTATGCCCTCTCAGCAGCATAAATTAAATAATATATATTCTTATAATTTAAATTATTTTATTTTATTTTGAAGATACAGATAAATATAATACCAGAAGACAATAGAATGATCAAGCACTAATTAATAAAGTTGGTAGCAATTAACATAAAAGATATTACATGAGATATATGATATATCACAATACCATAATTACCCTCATCATTTTTCTTCACTCTTCTTTAAACCCACTCACTAGCTACTATAATTTTTTTATTTTCTTTTTTTTTTTTTTAAATAAAAAAAAAACCCTAATAAAATAGCAACTGTGATACACAATGCAAACCCATTTTACATAATCGATATATAATCATAACAGAACTGGATTGAAAAAATACTATCCTTTCCAGCAAAAAGAAAGCCTTTGTAGTCAAAATTAACCGGCCGTCAAACATTTCCCGTTGACTGTGAAAGAAGTGGCTGAGTGATCGACGACTTGATGCTAGAGGGTTCACTGTTGTTACCGTGTTCCGCGGGGGAGTGGATCTCAGCCTTTTGGGCTAATCCAAATTTCCTCTCCTCATTTTTGCCCCATAGAACAAAATACAATCCCGTTATGATCAATACTGCACCAATAATCCTGTACATCGCAATCACAAAATTAGTCAAATATGGTGTTGACTTTTATTTTATGCTGTTGAATAAGGATATCTACATTATAAAATTTAACATTTTATTTATTTATTTAAATCCCAAAATTCAATTACAAATCTCCTTAATAGTTGACTAAATCCATTGTACTTGATGTACTCCAAAATTTAAAAGAAAAAAAATTAGGGGAAGAGAGAAGTAGCCAAAATTGGTCGGGAAATTGGAATGTATTATTACGAAAATGAAAAGAGTTGGAAAGAAATTGTTGGGAAATTGTTGACAATAAAAAAACATACGAAGACTATTTATATGGCTAGTAATAATGTGGATGCATGTGGGAATAACCAAAGTGTATTATTAAACGTTGACCATCAACATGTACTCAATTTGGACCAAACAAATTAACAAAAATAGAATTAACTAACTATTTGTGAAGGGGAGGAGAGAGAGGGGGCCGGGGTAGAGAGAGAAAGTAAAAAGTAAAAATACATACCCGCCCAAGTAGAATTCCTCGCCCAAGAGAGCAGAAGTCATAATGGCAACAACAAGTGTCTGAACAGGTTGATAAACAGCTACAAACACTGGGCCTCCTCTATCTATGCACCATATTTGTACCGCGAATGCTATCCCAGATGCCACCACTCCCTGCATTCATTCCCATTCATTCATTCTTTTTTCATTTACCATTATTTTTATTAAATATATACTCACACACACACAACTATATATATATATTATACTACTTCTAATTATGTAATTACTATATTCTTGATGGATGGAGCACATTCACATTAAATTTGTCAGTACAGCATGTTTAATTTCTCAGGATAATATATAATTGACTTATCATGCATGTGGTCCGATCCATCACATGGGATCCGATTAATCAACTCTCTCTCTCTCTCTCTCTCTCTCTCTCTCTCTCTCTCTCTCTCTCTCTCTCTCTCATGCACCCATGTTTCTTTTAATTTGACTTCAAATAATGTTTTGTATTGTTTGGACAAGTTATTAAATACTGACCATATTTCATTCATTTCATATTCGGGAAATTAACTCATATATATATAGTAATAATAAATACATTTCAGATATATGTTACTATCACCTCATTGAGTTGAGTTAGTCCAATTATTAATTTGGTCACAACATTTAATTAATTAATAAACTACGTGTAATTTGTTTATACTCAAACAAATAAATTAGCTAATTGTATATTTGACCATGGATATGCAGCTGACCAAAAATTGAAACTGAATGACCCTTTTGCCCCTAAACCCATGCAACTTGTTTTTACCGAAAATCAGAAATAAAGAAAGTAAAAGGTGAAAAAAATACCGCATAGAAAACACTGAAAAGCTCGGCGCCGGAGTGGACGAGCCAAGCCTGCGGGTCCCTCTCGACAAAAGCGGCGATCAAAAGAAACTGCAACACACCAAAGAAGCACTGGTAAGAAGTGAAAGAGAGCCGAGCCGGGTACTTTTTCAGAACCGGCGCCTGCAGCACGAGCCACCCGGACCACGATAGGCAGTGCCCGATCAAGAATATACAACCCATCGTCCAGCTCTTCCCCTTCGCATCTCCCAGCTGTGACAGCAACGCCGCCGGCACAGCCTCCACCACCACCGCCGCCGTGCTCTTCAGCGTCGTTCCGGCGGGGCTGTAGATGGTGGGCCCTTTGTAGAGCGTGATAACCGATGCACCCGCCACGCAGAATAGTGTTCCCGCCACCTTTGAGATCCCGTCTTTTCTATCAAGTCTCACTTTCTCTATCCTGCAAAATAAAAACAATTATATATATATATATATATTATTATACGAAAAAAGCGTGTTTATAGATTTTTTGAACATTCAAAAGTCGTGCTTTATATATACTATTTCTAGAAGCTTGCCTGAGTACAACTGCCATGAGAAAGGTTATGGCGGGAACTGAATTTTGTATAGCAGAAGCAAAAGTGGGTGATGTGTTGTCCAATCCCAACAAGTAAAACCCTTGATTTGCAGTTATCCTGTCCGAATTTCAAATTTATTTAATTATTAATTAGTCCTCCAAATATATATTAATTATTAATTAGTCCTCCACATACCCAACAATTGCGAGGAGGAAGAACTGGATGACCAAGTTCCAAGTAAGAGGCGGCCTTTCTTTCCTGTTTTTATTAGTAAGTAAAATAATAGTAATTAAGGTTATGTATATATAATAATAATAATAATTGAAACTGAATTTCGTGAAATAATTAAAAAAAACGTACTTTTCAAGAAAATAGGCAAAGGGCAAGAGGAGAAATAAGGCAAGAATGTTTCGATAAACAGGGAAGACAATCTTGCTGATGCCCATGTTAAGGGCAGCGCGTGAGACCACGTGGAAACCTGCGTATCCAAACTGCAACGCTAACATAGACATGTGCAGCTGGAACTTCTCCGGTATCGAGCACATTCTCCTAATACCAACGCCGCCGCCGCCGCCGGAGTCCGCCATTGATTGATTTATGTAATAACCACCTGAAAACTAATTAATTATATATATCTTAATGAGCTGTGTTGATTGATCGATCAGTTGTGGTGATGTTTAGGGTAGAGCTTAGGGGGCTATAAATATATAGTTGAGGAGAGAGAGAGAGAGAGAGAGAGAGAGAGAGAGAGAGAGAGAGAGAGAGAGAGAGGGTGAGAGGGTGTCCGTAAAATCAAAGGCGAGGTTTGAAATGTTTTTAGGTTGTCTCCCACTTTGTTATGTGATGAGGGGTATTTTCGGTATTCTACTCCTTACCACTTGGCTGACAAGACAACCCCACAATTATATCACTGTAAGTTAGATGCTACATCTGGTTATTTACTTTGCATGGATTCGAACCGTAGATTTAATTAATATTAACTACGCACTAATTAAACACACATACAGATGAGTGTGTGTGATTATGTGTAGATATACGGTTCAAATCTACTTGATCTAGATAAGCAGGTGTAACATTTAATTAATTTCTCATTATACCACTACCTAGAAGAAAACCAAGGCAAGTTACATGCGCGCGCACATACATTGATGTGTGTGTATTATTGTGTATCTATATATTTGGAAGCATGCTATTAATTATGATTAAAATTGATCGAAAAGATCAGAACTGAAGGGGGTACGTAGGAGGTGGTGGACCGGTGGTGGTGGTGGTGGTGGAGTGGTGGTGCATGCAGCCTCGGTGGATAATTAGAGCGCACGAGCGGTGGGGTTGGGGTTGGGTGTGTTGCATGTTGTGTCCACGTCCATCCATGAAACCCTAAACCCCACCATCTTAGCTACTAACCTTCCCATTTATTATTGTACCTCAATTTGTTAATTTAAATTTTTTTTTTGGTATATAAATAATTCAATTTTATTATTCGACTCTCTATTATAATCGATAGTGACATTGCGATATAATTTCACTATCTATATATATCAATTTTTTTTTCATGGGGTATGCTTTGAAATATATTATTTTGTATTAATTAATTGCACCATCAAATAATATAATTAAATGAAAATGCTTAATTGTATTACGATATTCATTTAAAAATTAAAAGGCTTCACAAAAATAAAATAAAAATAAAAAAATAACAGGGCATGGGATATTATATGTATATATATATATATATAATATATATTTTTTTAATTATTAATTTGTATATATGATATATAATTGCATGTTTGCATGTGCAATCATTGAGACAAGTAAATGGGAAATGTTTCACTTTTAATTTTACACCATAATTATATTATTATGACCATTTGACCCCTCCACTAGTTTACGTGACTGTAAGTTGCTGTAGTTTTTATTAATTCTAATTAATTAGGATCCAGTTGCTAACACTAACATGGCTGTGTATTAATATAGATTACATCAAATCTCAGTATTAGGATTATTAAAACCAATAAGATTATAAGTAATTGGAATTATTGAAGGGAAATTAGTTATATTATTGACTGGATCTTCCTATATATATCCAACGGTCAACTTGATTCTGTTCATTGGCTAAACTTAAAAAGGGCAAGGGGTTGTGGTCCTCTCGATTATTTCATTATTTTATTATTTTATTACTGTTATATAATAATTATGTGTGACAAGCATGTGACCGTTGGTAGTCAGAATTAAAATTGGATCAATTGACACAAATTCACTTACGGGATTTTTGAACACGTTTTCTTATATTTGAAGTAACACATGTTATATTATAATTTATTTTAGTAACGTCCATAAATTATTTTTTTGACAACAATGTATACAACTAATTACTTATTTGCGTTGTTTTTTCACAAATATTCCTAAAAAAAATCGAGGCGCTGACCACGAAACCCGCCAGATTTTCATCAAATTTTCAGTCCCGCAGTCGAAAAATCCTGGTTCTGCCCACGGTTCCGTTAGTATACAATTTTGCTCATGGATGAAGAAATATGATATTTTTAAATAATATTGTGTGATTTGCGAGTTAAATGTATAATCAAAAGGGCTAAAACAAACACACTTTCTACACCAAACTTCTTTCTTTTCATTGATGGTTTTGTACGAAAAAAGCAATAAAATGAAAATTAAGGAAACTTTGCTTTAATATATATATCACGAGCGACACTAATTAATCATGTTTATTAAAGATAATTAATGAAGTGTTTCCACTAACAACCCACCTCACCAAGATTGGTTGTAGTACTATATAATGATATAATTTACTCCTTAATTGTAACTTTAAACGACAGTGTGTCTCCCTAGCTCCCACTTGAATCCACTATCGATTATTTTGATGATCTTACAAAATTAAATTAAATTACAGTAAATTTCTATTTTGTAAAATAAAATGAATTCAGAATAATAATATAATTGTGAAACAATAATTTAAAAGGCGGCAATAAATGTATCGAGATATAGGGTAAGCGGGTGACCCGGGCAGAAGGAACCGGTCGGGCAGCAGCCTGACCGATACAGGTCGAAACTTGATCGATTACCATCTCCATAGCATATATATATCATATATATGTATATATAATGTATGATCTTGTTCCTCACTTGAGTCAAATACAATTGTTATTTCTACATCACTGACAGCTATACTTGTGATTTTTCTTGCACCCCAGAATCTTTTGGATTCAATGTTTTGGCCCCGTAATATTCAATTTATTTATTTATCTATACTTGTAATTAAAAATGCATATAAAGCGATCAATTTGGAAATTATAATTATAAAAGCATGCACTCTCCACATTCATTGACGCATGCGAAAGTTTGAAAATATAAATAATTGATTTTCATCATAATATTTTTTTTATTGTGAAAATTGAATAATAGACAAAAGAAACCTTGACAGTTGTGGTCAGTACGAAAGCTAATGTCTTTGGTCAATGGTAGGGTTTGGGCATCAAATCTAAGATTTTTGGTCTACATATATTGTTTTTTTTTTATGCAAGAAAATAGAAATTCAGATATTTAAATATCAATTGAATACATTATAATTTGAATAAAGATGGAACATGTCTTTTGAAATATTTTAATTTTTTTATTAAAATTCTAGATTTTTAAAATTATTGTCTAAAAAAAAGAAGAAAAAAAATCCGGGGAGTCCCTTTTGTTATTTGGTGAAGCAGCAAGGCATGTGCTGACAGATGGCATTACATTGAATGGAGGCCCTAATGGGAAACAAATAAAAAAATCCCATTTATTTATATGTTACAATTTGTGATTTAATAAATTAATCAATACGGCAATTGTTTAATGAACCATATATTTTTGTGTCATTATTCCATTTCCTTTTCCCTTTCAAAATATGAATTTTTATTTATTTTAGTAGAATCAACTGCTGATTCTATGTCAATAAAGATTGGAAGAATTTTCAAATTAATAATTAATTATGACAGCAACCCGATAGCAATTTGCGATTATCAATTTCGACATATATCGTCAATCGATTAGTAGATTAAGAAAGACGCAAATATTGGTTACTATCGTAATTAAAGAAGGCGAAATCGCTGTCGAAGTTCGTCCTTGTTTTTATAGTATAATAAAATATATTTATTAATAAAGTGATTAATGGAAATTATCCATAAAATTTGAAAACATAGTACCCAAAAAATAAATTCAGCTAAAATTTAAATTTTCAGGTTACCCTCTTGAATCTTTGATGGGAATACACAATTAAAAATAAAATTAAAATAAATAACTAACATATTCATATGATACAATAACCCTAGAAATATAGGGTATGAGTGTAATCCTGCAGATATACACATAACTGGATATATACATACATTATAAAACAATTATGAAAATTTAGTTTGGTTTATTCAAAGAAAAGATCATTAAACAATGAAAGGAGTGAGACACTTAACAGAACCACAATAATGTTATATCACATACACATTACCTAATATTCAGGTATCTTTCAACAAATCAATTTCATGGCTAAGGACCACTACTAAACTCATCAATGGAGTCTTTACAAACTTTTCTCTCTCCCGTCTTAATTGTTACCCGTTTTCGACATCCACGTTCATGGGAGTGAGTGACCAAGACCCCCATTAACAGTTCATCATATTTTATCGTGCAACAAACACGAAAAAGAAAAAGAGAGAGAGATGCTCTCCATTACCAAAAAGATGCTGTAAAAGATACCGTGGATCAAGTGTATCTTGTCTGAAGATGCTGTAAACATCTTTTCCAAAGGGGGAGTGAAAAATAAGATTCCTAGTCTGTGTGCTTAGAACACTATCTCAGTGGGCGACAACACTTCGTTGGCCTTTCAGAATCCGGAAAAGCTTATTTATGAGCGGTCAGATTTTCAATTTCGTTCCGTAAGAGACGTGTTTTGAATGACATTACATGGATATGTAACGTGCATCGGGTGATAATCTATGCAACTTACGTAGAACTAGGGTCGGAATATACGGTACCTAGTGAAGAGTGAATAACAAAAATAAAATTATATGCACGTCTAATATAGTATGACAGGGTTGCTCAAATAAGTCCTACACGAACGCCTGCTAGAAATGTACTGAATAAAAAAGTATCGGGTATAATACAAATCCATTTAATTGTAATTTTCCATGTATGGAGAAATTCACTGGTCGAACATTATTAAAATTCTGTAAAACATTGCAAGAAAGAGAAAATAAGAAAGCAACCAAGCGTATTTTACCGAAGACTTAACTCTAACATGTGTATTCTGTAAAACAGAGGTGGCCTAGTTTAGTAACTATCTGCTTATTCGCATCACTCTGTTGTTTTCTCGAGTTCCATTAGGACAAGGTAATCTAGGCATGTCTCGTCATTTGAAAGCAAATATACAGACAGTGATGTGGAGTTATTATTCGGCACCTGTTTCTTCGGCAGATTTCTTATACTCCGGCTTGAGCTCATATGTACCCTGGTTTGTTCCCCTTTTATTATAAACACACAGCTCATTCAATATCTCCTTCAAAAATTGCTGCAACAAACATACCGAAAATTAGACACCGCAAGGAAAATACAAGAAAAAGCACTTCTTACATATCTACTTATAAGCCAGTATATAATATTCAACAAACAAGAGAACAGAAAACATAAATCACCAAATCCACAATTTTTCGACAAAATAGAATAATAGAAGCAAAGGATTACTGCAGGTTGATCGGTTTCTTGAACGAGCTGCTTAAGAGCCCAATTAGGTTGTCTTTCGAAAAGCTTAAACATGATATCTTCCAATTCCCCACGGTCCCTTCTAGTTCTTTTCACATCTGGCGCCTTAACTGGAGCTGGTCTTTTCTTATTATCCTGCACCAGATAAAATACGAAAGATAAAATAATGACCTTAGAATTAAAAAAATTAAAAGGGAAACAAGAAAGAACCTAGTTACCTTAGAAGTCGAAGTAATCAGTCCCATCATCCCAGGCATTGACCTCATGTGCACACCACGATCACCATCAATCACCTGATGAACATCAAAACAGAGATGTACAGTAAATATTTCATTATTTAGCATAAAATGTTCCTAAATAACACGGTCCAAGAGAGGCAAAAATGAAAAGTGAAGCGAGTTGTATGACCTGAATTTGCCTATTCTTGATCATGGACTTATTTGTTCTCTCTCGGCACATTTTTCTGTATTCTTCAGCGTTTTCATGGCGGGGTTTCATGTCAAATTTATGTTCCACTTTCCCCTCCATTGCAAATTTTACTGTAAAAGAAAACATCACAATATATACACAACTGGAGAAAACAGAACAATGAAAGCAAGAACCGCTCAGCATCCTCAAAGAAAACTATGAGGTAACGAAATATCCCTTTTTCAGCCTAACAGTCGTAGGATATTATTGAATATTAAATAGATCCTCATCCTCTATAATTTCCTTTACAAAAACATTACTCTGTACATAACGTTGAACTCCACTCGACTCTATAGTTAAATTTTTGGGGGTATTACACACGTTATTTTCACAATCTCATAAGCTATTTTAGAACTATCAGCACACTGTTCAAAGTAATTTTAACAGAAGCTCCATGTATTTACCAATAGATCATAACATTACAGTAATTGTGGGCATTGCGCAGACAAGCTATTCACATTCTCGTAAAGCAGATGTATTCCCTCTTACATAAACCCCAAAAGGGCAACATCAATGCATTACTCAGCCAAAGATCAAGTTCAAAACAGATTCAAAATCCGAAAAGAAATAAACAAAGCAATGCATGTAAGTTCAGAATTCCAGAACAAGGCACAGCAAAAAGAGGGAGATAGGGGAAAGAGATAATGACAAGTGAAAACAATTCACCTTGGTTTATCTCGGAGAAAACCTCCATTGGAACAAAATCCTTAAACATGTTCAGAGAGTAACTCTTCGGCATATTCACAACATCACCCCCAGCCATCTCCATAGTAAACTGACGCACATACATTAATTTAATTTCAGAATCCATTTTCTCACAAAGTTCACAATTCACAAAAAAAATAAAAAAAATCAAACATGTGAAGAACGAAGTGAAAACCGATAAATTGATTTACTTGGAGGGGATCGGAGTCTTCAGGTTTGAGGAGATCGAGAGAAACGATGACTTTTGCGACGGGCGGCGAGTCGGAGGCGGCGGCGGATGCGGAGGAGGATCGCCATGCCTTGGAGACGATGGGCGGGCACTTCATTAGCCAAATAGGTCGGTCAGCTTTGGAAGTCTCGACGGAGCTTTTACTGTTACTGCGGTCATCCTCCATGGAAGGGGACCTTATTTTTTCCTATTTTTGGAAGAGGAAGAAGATCTGTAACGACTCAAATGGACTTGCTCTGACGGGTCGGGTCATAAACGGGCCGGTTTCGATAAATTATCCTCTCTCTTTTTTTATTTAAAAAAAAAGTTAATTAAACAACAAATTATTTTTGTATTATAATATTTTGGACTGGGCCCGGCCCGTATATAGGACATCAAAGTGGAATGTAAAGCCCGTAAAATGGATTATGGCCCATAATAAAATATAGAGAGTCCAGGAGTCATTGAATATACATGGAGGCCCAATTTCTCCTAGTGATAAATATTGACTAACTAAATATGAAATAATACTTGATTAATTAATTATCTTTTATTTCCGCAACCAATAATATTAGTAATTAACAACTTGTGGTTATCCTGGAAAACCGGAGGGGGCCGGTTCCTATAGTTTTCCAAGTCAAGGGTCAACTGATTGGTCAAACATTCTCTAGTTTTTTTTTGACATATTACTGATTACAGAGTACTGCAAACAAACTTTTGCTTAAAACCAGCCGGGTCGTCCAAGCAAACAAAAACCAATTTTACTATGGTTATTTCTATGCTATACACACTAGATTTTTACAGTAGATTTACACACATCAGTGTGTGAAGGTGTGTTTGTACGTCTTTGTATGTATAGTAAAAATCTATCTGGTGTATTTCACTAAATGTAGTATAGTGTAAATCTTGTCTTCGCCTAAAACACAGAAGAAAAGGAAAAATATGTCGGCCGGAACTAAAATCGACCCCATCATTGGTGGATTGTGTGCTAAGTTATACGCTTAATTAGTTTATTTTTAATTAGGTAGTGTTGCTAAACTTTCAATAAAAGCAAATTAATTAGAAGCGCATATACTCACCCGCCTAGCATGGTGAGTTTTTTAATCTTGGTTCTAATACATTACAAAATATTATTTTTGATGTGTGATAAATTGGTATTAACTAATTTGGAATATGAGAGAGAGAGAGAGAGAGAGAGAGAGAGAGAGAGAGAGAGAGAGAGATGAATGTAATAATTGGGAATTGGTAAGGGGGGAAAATAGGACCACAATAAAATGGTTGCAGGAGATGAGATGAGATGAATCACAATGCTAAAGAAGAAGCAGAAGCACGCGCCTGTGTACCTCACTCTATATCTTCCCTAAATCTCCCACACCCTACTAACCCTACTCTTCCCTATTAGTTTCGCCTTTTCCCTGCTTCTTCTTTTCTACTTCATTATCTTTTATTAATATACTATTATTACTAGAGTCTATATATTTAATATACATTGTGCTAATTATGTTTATTAGATGTGAAATAGCGATCACCATTTTGAACTACTAACTCGACATTAATCCTTTAATCTACCATTGTTAACCATGTACTAATATATATATATATATATATATATATATATATATATATATATATATTAGAACAATACACATAACTGAAGCAAAAAAACAAATGGCTGATCGATAAGAAAACAGTTGGAAAACAAGAAGTGCCATGAGGAATTAAGTCATATGTTTTTTCCCTAACACTGACATGTCCTCTCTCTCTCTCTCTAGATCACACACACACACACACACACACACATATATATATATATATATATATATATATATATATATATATATATAATCAAGCAGCAACGTTTACATCCATGCCCACTTATATACATGAATCACATGGTCATTAATTAATTAAACATACATATACATATATGTATATATATATGTATATATATAATTTAAGAAATATCAGAGCATTTAGGATCGCATGCAGCTTCCAATCCCTTCTGTTTGTCACATCCGATCCATGGCCTGTCTTAATTTCAATTATACCTTTCTTTTTTAGGGTTCCTTCTCTCTCTGTAATATATATCTATATATATATATTTAAGCGTAGTAGTGTAATTAATTCTTATTTAGTTTGGCTGTGATGCACTGCGTGTATTAGTATGTGTGTGTGTGTGATTATATATACATAATATAGTATAGCCTATATATAAATATATATATATATAGGTCAATTAATTGTACTATTTATTGGGATATGAAACCTTGAATCATAATAATATATAAAGTGATCACATTTGCCAGAACTAGCAGTGATGGACCGCCAATTAACACCCCCTCTATTTCCTAATTTATATTCAATTATACCCTTCTCAAAATCATAGACCTAATAATCACCCATTCCTCATAATTAATTACATTTATATACTAATTAGCTAGTTAGAGGAAGGTCAGACTTTATCAAATCCAACAAACACTCAGAAACACAAGCCACTTAGAAGAAGGTTTTTCGATAAGACCAATTAATAATTTAAATTTAATGCATAAGAAATACACAAAATCATAATTGAAATTCGGACACATTTATATATATATATATATATATATATATATATATAAATAGAAATAAATAATAAACATGAACAATATTCCAAATGCTTGCTTGTGATATTCTTACAACATTCTTGGACCTAACTATTTCCTTAAAAATGATTCTCAAAACAAACACTAAAGTGAATTAAGTTAGAAACATGGAAGGGATTAAATACTCAATACTTGTTAAATAAATTTGATATCAAGGTCTTGGTGGTAAGAAGAATTGCGTACCGGCCATGAAACCGCTAAGCTGATGACTACTAGGATAAATCGAAGGGTCGAGCATTGTCAGATTCGTGTTGCTCGTTGTCGCGGTGATCAGATCGAGCGACTGTTGGTGAGAGCCTCCGCCGATGAGGCCGGCCGAGGAGGGGCCTTCTCCGGCAGCGCCACCGGGGTACCGGCTTTCAGGACCTTGATCGTAGAGGATTCCCTTGAATACATGCCCTCCAATGTTGACAGCTGTCTGATACGCCAGATGCTCCTCCGCGTCGTCCATTGCACTCACTCTCACGCACCGGAATACCGCCGGGGAACTCAGTTCCGCCGGAAAGTGTCCCAGCTCAAACCCTAGTTCATCACCATCAGAAAAAAATTATATATATAATTAATCGAAAAATAAATAAAAGAGTTCACCAACTCTTTTGATTTTATTAGCGTCAGTTTTACTCTGTAACAGTAAATTGAAAAGGAAAGGTAAAGCAACATGATCAAATTAATAAGTGAGGAGTTCATAATTATTTCAATTATTTTTCCTGCGCCACTTAAACGATTTAATTAATGGAGCATTAAAGCTTAAGATATTTCAAATAATTCAAAACCTACCTCCACCACTTCCGCCGGCGCCAGCTCTTCCATCACCCTCCCTCAGCCGCTTAGGATTCTCGCCACCTCTGACCGCCGCCAGCTGCTGCTGCTGCTGTTGATCCGTCTGCAAAGAAGAATTCGTCGTCGTCGTCGTCAGCTGCTGCTGCTGCTGGAGACGCTCGCGGCGCCTGGCCGCCGGAACCCACGTGCTCTTCACGTGGGTCTGGCATGGATAGCCGCGGCTCTTACAGCAAGTCCTGCACCTCATATGCTCGCAGTCTTTCTTAGCTTGGTTGCCACAATCCTGACAGCTTATTCCGTCGCTCCCCACCGCCCCTCTCCCCTGATGATTCATCACCCGAAACCCTAACTCCGCCGCCGATCTGTTATTATTATAGCTACCGTAGTTCCCAGGCTCATCACCTCCTCCGATGCTCCTCCGCCGTCCGCCGCTACTCGGCCCGATGGAGAAGTCCACATCCTGATGGTGGCTTCTCTGGTGATGCAACTGGTAGTACTGCTGCCATACCTCGAAACCCTTGCTGTAGATCTCTTCGTTCTTGTTCAACAGGAACAAGTTGTAATTATTACTATTATTATTACCAGTTTCTGCTGTCTGATTGTGCTGGTCTTGCTGTTCTTGGTTGTTGTCGTGGTTCTTACCACTTAGCGAGAAAAACCCAGACATATTCCTCTCTCCTACAAGCTAAGACCAACCTCAATTTTGAGAGAAAATCCATAGCAAACAAAACTAGGGTTTATAGGGTTGGAGGATGGGTGGTTATTATTATCATGTGGTAGTTTTCGTGAAGATCCAACACTACTGTGTGTGTTTGTGTGTTTGTGTGTGTGTTTTGCAATATGAATTATGGGACTAGTTTACTACTAGATTAAACACTAGGTTTTGTGTTTATTAATTGTAGGTGGGGAGAGAGAGAGAGAGAGTGTAGAGAGAGAGAGAGAGAGATCTAGTAGTTTTTGGGGGTTTGCACTCTGTTTAATTTGCAGCTTTTTGGCACCATCGGAATTATTTAGGGTTGTGTGTGTGTGTGTTGAATTAGGGTTGTGTGTGTGTGTGTGTGTGTGTTGAATTGGCGATGGTGAATGAGTTGGGATTGAAATGTTTTGAGTTTGTTTTTGATGCATTAAATTCACAGCTCTGCAAACGCCGCCATAAGCCCACTGCAAACTGCAACCTCAATTTAAGACCCCACAGTAACATTTTGCTCCTCTTCTCTTTTTACTTTCTCTCTCTCTCACACAATACACACACACACACTCTTACTTTTCAATAGTAGTATTTACGCTCTACAGTTTGTGTCATATTTGCATTTATTGCCCGTAATAACTTGGCTTATTTTACAATTTTGCCATTTTATTTTTTTTGAAAATATATACTATTTGTTTTTTAAATATGTATACATTTGATCTGATTTAAACATATTTTAATTTTTTTTTTAATCTTATATATCGTTTTACAATTCAAAATAATAAAATTTTGGGTAAATTATGAAAACACCCATAAACTTAGGTTAAATGACGTAAAACACTCCCACCTATCCGTAATAAGAAGAAAACCCCTCTGATAAACTGTTGATCGAGTTTTTTAACGGAAAATGTGTAAAGTCTATTATATTTTCTGTTAAATAGGCGAGAAATAAAATAAAATATCTAAAATTGTTTAAAGTCTATTCCCTTGAATAAAAAAAATCCGTGAAAAGTGCAAGGGGTTAGTGTAAGAAGGAAACAAACTTCAGGGTTTTTTGGTAATTACGAATAAGTAAGGGTGTTTTTCGTTATTGAGACTAAGTGAAAGGGGGTTTTCGTAATTTACACAAATATGTGCATGGTGATTCATTCAACGGTTGTGTGATGGCCACGTGGCAAATGATCGATCAGGCTTTTGCTGATTTATCCGTGCACCGGAAAACACGCCCTACTTTCTTTCTTCTCTCCCATGATAATTAATTTAGGGAAAATTATTTTATTAATTTCTGAAAGGAATTAAAAGCAATTAACCAAATGAGGAAACAACAATGGGACAGCTGCCTCACAGTCACAGCTAAAATGTTTCATCACTGACCAATCAAGGACCCGATAATTAGGGGTGACATTATTATAAGCGTGACAGAGAGGTGAGATTAGTGAGTCAGTTCTTCTTCCAGCTTTTGGGATATTCAAGAAATTCCCCCCAAGTTCTCAGAAAATTCTATTTTGACCCTCATCTTATTATTAATTAGTAAAATTAGCAGCTTCGACTATATAATACATTATACGCCTCGTATTCCTCTCTAATTCTTTCTGCAATCATTCTTAAGAAATTAATATATATAAATAATTGATGTTCCCTTTTTGTATGGGGCTATTAATTTAAAAGGTCAACCCTTTGATAGCAACATTACAAAATAGAGGAGAAATTCCCAAATTAATTCCATTTTTGAGTAATTTATATTTTGTAAAATGTAAATTACAAACACCCCTAAGCTAAGACCAAATTACGAAAAAAAACCCTATTGTTTTGGTAATTACAATCACTACTATAAATTTTCTTACATGTTCATTCTTATGGTGTCAAATTCAACATATCTTCTAGATTCCGTAGAATATTCTTCAGGTTGTACTCGTTTTGTGCAAACATGTCGTTTTTGATGTTCCACAATCTAATATATACAAGTCAAGAGACACTTCTTATGATCATATTGTTTCAAAATATTGAGCTTGAATTGACTAAAATATACTTGAACTGAAGAATATTCCAGAATATCACAATATAATGTATTTTTTTTCATAAGTAATCTTGATTTTAACTATAAAAAAAATCCAAAATTACCTTTTAGAGGATTGTCTCAATATATTAATAATATGATATTTTCCCCTTTAATCTTATACTTCTCTATCGACAATTCAATATCACATATATATATACATTTATGTATATCTATATGTGAATCTAGATATAAAAGAAAGAGGAATAATAGTAGCACTATTGTGCAATTTTAACAAAGAATGATGACAATTGTGCAAAGATTATTCTTATAATATTCTTCTTTTGAATCTTTTCTTTATATGAAAGAAGATTGACAAGACATTTCCTAGAGAAGGGAGAATAGTAAAGAAAACAACATTATTGATTATTGATAAGACGTACGTTTAATTTATATTATTTAAAATAATAAAAAAGAGGATTAGACCATCATTAATCCTTAATTACTTTCCCGACCACTTCACTCATTCTGAATGTGCTACTACTATCAACTCTACAATTTTCAGTCACGGGCTATGACCAAAAATAATAATAATAAATAATAATAAATAAAGAAAGCCATTTGAATCTATATTCTTGAGTTTTTTCAAAACGTGAGTTTTTTTCCATAATTAGTGGCTATAATTAATTAATTAATTAATTAATCAATCAATCTTCTTGAAAACTGTAGATTTTAAAATTATTTGGTACGGACAAGCGGCGGCCGTACAGATAATGCAGAACAAATTAAAGTGGTTAAAAGTTAAGATTAGTCTGTTCCTATTAATGGACAACAAAAATTACCAATCCAAAAAAACAAAATTGCATGGAAGAACAAATTTTAATTAAATAAATGCATGTAATTTTTATTCATTTTGAAATTATATCAAAAATTAAATTTGAACGGGGCTTTACACCCTATTAATTAAATTAATTAATATTTGAAAATCCGAGAGATTTCAAAGTTTTTTGAATAAATATTGTTTCTTATAATTATTTTTTAAAAATAATAATAAATAAAAAGTATGTGGGTGGGGTTAAATAATTGAATGTGTGGCAGTCAAAAAAAATCTCGAGCCGTGCGTCTGAAAGATAGATGGCCTTTTAAGCGGGATTTTGACCTCCCGTACCCGATTTCTTTCATATAAAACCAAACACGTCTTTTCCAACTCTCCCAATACTTATTTTTTATTAATTATTAATTTATAAACTAATTAAGAAATAGTAGGGACAAAATTGAGAAAATGAAATATTGTAAAGTGAAAAATATTTCACATGACTCATGTCTCATCAATCACAATTTCGGGGTTAAATAAATAAACAACCAACTTTCTCTTCAACTATTCTTAATTCTTAATAATTAGTAAAATATAGTCATTGGCCCCCTCCACGTGCTAAACATTACCATCAAATATTGAGCAAAAAAAAAAATTAGCCAAGTAATTGTTTTATTACATAAAAATAAACTAATATATAATCTTGACTAAGGTAGATTTTTGGTAAATCTAGACCAGGATAGGTTTTTTACCTTTGATTTAATTATTATTACGTAACGGCCGTGTCACATGGTTGTAACACTTTCACCTACTTTTTACAAACCTAAAACCATTTTAATCTAGACTTAGCCCTCTACACCATATATTTAAATTTTAAAAATAAAATAAAAAGGAAGAAAAGGCATTATTTGAATTCCCAGGAAATAAAAGTAATTCATGGAATCTACGATGATGGGCATTTGAAATTACCATATTGTACATCGTCATACTTGCTATATTACGGTGCCCAAGGGGCAAGGGCAATATGCAGAAAGTTCAAAATGGCTTCAGACAAAACATGAGTAGACAAAATGTCTATTACATCTGGAAAAATAAAATATAAAATAAAAATTAGGGTCCACCATACTAGTTAAGGGCAACAAAGTTGCCACATTTAGTAAGGCACACTAAAACTTCCCACACTTCATAAGAATGGTCTAAAGTCAAAAGCATACATAAATTTATTACAACGAAAACTGTAATCATAAAACCCCAAAAAAAAAAAGAGTCGAGTTGGCGGGTAATTTATAAAAATCGAAACCAAATATTAAACAGATATATAAATCCGATCGAGAAAAAAAAAACTCCTTCGTTTGATGCTCCTACCTCTTTTCTTTCTCCAAAAACCAAAATCATCTTACCTGCGAAGGAGAACAGAGCAATCCAGACGCATCGGATCCCACAGCCGCAAGATCGCAAACATTACACAACTGCCCCTGCTGAGAAAGAACAAAATGCGTGCCGCAGTAAGGGCAAGTCACGTCTTTTTGCCCCCTGTAAATCGGGACATAAGTAGCCCCACACACAACAAAAGGATTTCTAAAGTCGTAGTTAAGCTGCGTAGCATCTTTCATATTCCTCTCAGCAGCCTGCAGAACTTGCCTAGCTTGCCTCGCCTGATTCTCGTTGCTCGGATTAGTCTCGAGAAGTCGTCTGGCAAAATTTGCCGCAGTGCTCAGATTCTGGGCCTTGAAGCAAACAGTCATAGCGTTCTGCAGAGCAAGCCTCGTGTGTGGTAGCTGAAGGGTACAATGGGTAAAATACGCAGCCAGTTCTTGTTGACGAATTGGATCGTCCTTCATTTCCCTCCTCTTGAGCTCCATCTGCAGAGCAAGAACGTACTCTTTTGCTATGATGACCAGTTCTTTCACCTCATCCACCTCCCTTCGAGTTTCGACCACAATTAAAGGGATTGTGTGAAGAATCGCCAGAAAATGTTTTAGAGCTTCGGAAAATTTCCCAGCAGTTGTGGCCTTGTACCCAGCCTTGAGCTTCTCCTCCAGTTGAGAGAAATCGAAAATGAGGGCAGGTGGGCCTCGCACGTTGGGACTTGCTGACTCACTCCACCCCCTCTCAATTGCAACAGAGATCACCGGTGCAGAAGTGAAGCCACGTAGGTAACTGTGGCTGCCCATGTGAAGGTCGATAAACTGCGATTTCAAAGGAGCAAAATTACGTATGCCCAACTGACGGCTTAACAAACGCATTGCAGTGTCGAAGTTTCCAGAAGCTGCATGCTCGGCAGCAAGAGAAGATCTCTGGACCCAGATCTGGCTCACGGGCATACCCAGTGTGGGGGCCACAAACACAGAAGAACGTGCATTCGAAGCTGCTTTGGGGGTTTCAGCATCAGGTGGAAGATCAAGATCCTCTAGATCCCACCCTCCCTCTTCGTCATTCTCCGGGTGCACATCATCATCATCCTCATTCAGCACAGCGCTGATGTCACCATTCTGCAAGTTGTCCACATCAGCAATATCCAACCCTTCGCCCCAATCGGCATCTGCAGCTTCTTCATAGTCTTCGTCGGCATCTCTACCTGTGTCGTCAAGGCCGCCCTCGAATATGCCTTTGCTAACCATTAACAAAGGCCAGTCTCCAGCTGATAGTACTGGATTTGGGGGTATCAGAAGAGAGGGCTTTCTTCCCTCAGGCAGAGAAGGAACGTTCTCACCCAGTTCTGCAGCCAAACGCTCTGCTATGTCATGAAGCCCATGGACAGAAGCTGTTATATAAGCCAGGGGCAAGTGTCCCACATTTTCGAGAATCTTGACACGCTCTCGTACGTCGCCTAGATACAGTGCATCGTGAAACTGGCCCATGACGTCATTTTTCACCTCGGCGATTTTCATCATTTTTGACAATTTATCGAGATTGCCGGTTATCAGATAATGGAAAGACAGCCTCTCGAAATTCTTTGTTTTCTGATATGCATATTCGACAATCCCTGCATTTCCCTGGCGAAGGGCTTCTACCCCTAGCCTGTACCAGTGATCTTTCTCATCAATCTTTTTGGCAGATTCGAGGGCTTTCTCGATGTTGCCGCTTTCAAGTGCCAAGTTGAAGCGAGTTCTCTCGTCTTTGACGAAATAAAGAGCAACTTGCGGAAAACCCTTCTGCTGAAGATAAGCAATCATGGCCTGCCCACATAATTCTGAATTTTTTATCATGCTCATAACCTGATCGTATCTCTTCCTCAACAAGGAAAGCTTAAAAACATATTCCGTTGAATCAATAATGATCGGACGGTTTTTCCCATCTCGCTCCAAGCAAAAGATTGTGTTCCCGAATATTTTGGTTACGTACACTGGGACATCCAAGGTCTTGATGATTCCACTATCCCCGTTAGGAAGACAGTACTTAATGTGTGTCAGTGTAGTGTAGATGAAAACACCGTTGTCATCCCATGCTCCACTCTTGACACGAATGGTCTCGTGAAGCGTGCAACGGTGCGCAAGCTTCTTATCAGCAATAATAATCGAATGCTTGCTTAGTAAAGCAACACTCTCCATATCCTGAGACCAAACCACATACCTAACGAAAGATGTCTGAAGATCCCCAAGAATAATCCTCTGTTGGAGATCAAAAATGACAACCCGGTCCTCAGCCCTGCAGAGCAGATTTCCAGTTCCGGCATAAAATATAGCATCGGTAGCAATTGGCAGAAGACTCTTTTTCACAATTTCATTTTTCAGATTCTTGACCAGGACTTGGTTGGTGCTTTTCTCGAGCACCGCAAACCTATTTCTAGCCACAAAAACTGCAGACCCCCCAACACCTCTTTTTGCTTCTTGAACACTGTCGCCTCTGCCATGGCTATCTTTGGGAACAACATAGAGTTCATACGAACCTCCATCCGTGTCTGAACAAACCAAGACTGCACTTTCAGTAGGGCTGTAAGAAAGAGAACGAGGTGCTTGGTTTAGACTATTAGCACCAGGACGGCGGATTGGTATCAGCTGAGTATCTTTTTGAGTCGAGTAATCAAAAGTACGTAAAAAGCGGTCCTTGACGTAGAAGACTGAATCAGCAGTGACAGAAAAGGCAGGACGCTCTCTCTCCAGCTTAAAAACAATCATGCCACTGTCATGACCAGCAGCCAGAAGATTCATCTCTGGGTGGGCTGCTAGGATCCAAAATCGGTCATGCTCCCTTCGGAAAGTCTGCAAGCCAGTTCTCTTAGTGGCATCCCAAACTCTGATACTTTTGTCTTCTGAGTTTGATATAATGATGTCCTGCTTTGGATGAAACAAAACACAAGAAACATTGTTCATGTGGCCTCTCAGTGTGTCCACCTCCCAAGCCTTTGTATCTGAGACAATATTAATCAGATACCAATCATTAAATATTAAAAATGTAAAAGTTTACAGAAACTAGAATAGTAAATATAAATGACTGTAATGAAGTTGAGGTAGAAATAGAGTTTTCAAGTGATAAATGAAGCAGCAATTCTCCCAAGAAACTCAAACAAACCTCTGGCATATTTTCGTTGTTAAATTAGAAAAAATAAGATGGCAAATAAGTAGGCCAGTACACATATACCTTTTTCATCATCATAGAAAAATGACAGCAAACTTAGCTTATCCCATATGACCTAATTCAAAAATAACTCCTTCAAGTTCCATAGTTGTCTTGCGAACCAATAACCACCCTCATTCACCCACATTAGCTTGATATATCAGAGCCCAGAATGCCATAAAGTTCAGCACATTTTTCGCAGCATGAAAGCAGAAACGGGGAGTAATGTAATACAAACAATAGAAGATTTTGAGAGACTATTGTGACCTGACCCTTTTTCCTTCAGCAGAGGTTCTCCATCATCAAGATTAAAAATCATTCAGGCATTAAATGCTCATTTTGTTATAAAAATGTTTTAGAAGCCAGTATAAATCTTCGAGGAAAATAAACAGCTCAAGCAAGATGCTGAATTAATTAGTGGTCAAGCTGACATACCATTCATGCGCCAGATTTTCACTTGGCGGTCATCTGCTCCAGAAACAATCAGAGGGAGAGTCGGATGGAAAGAAGCCCAGTTGACCCCTCGATCATGGCCTTCCAGGACATACTTCACAACAGCATCAACTCCACCAAAGAAGTCCGCATTCATTTGAGACAATCGCAGAATGTCATCTGCGGGAGATACTGTTTTCTTCCTCAGGGCACCAATATCCCAAACACGAACCGTCTGATCCAAAGAGGCTGAAACAACCAAGTCTTCTTTGGGGTGAAATGTGGCACACATGACATAATGGTTGTGCCCCGTTAACACAGAAATACAAGTACGTGATTGCCAGTTCCATATTCTAATTGTCTGATCATCACTTGCACTTACTATCCAGGGATACTCGTGATGAAATTGAACTGTCCTGATGTAATCAAGATGACCGAGAAGAGTAAAGAGGCATCTGTGCAATTTATAATTCCACACCTTGATTTTGTAATCATCACCTGTAGAAACCAATTTTGGCAGATATCAGAAAATGTGTATGAATCATGAATGTCATCCAAGAAAAAACAGACAATGAAGCTATCCAACATAACATTACTCTTCATATAATCAAACAAATACTAATAAGTAATAACAGTAAATACAGAAATATTTCCGTTTATTTTATTATATGTAATTCAGATATCTTTACAATCTTCATTAGGATTAGGTTCAACCAAAAGTCCCATAAGAAGCCAACGCAATCTTCAAACTAACAGTAATAAATAAAGCATTTAAAAAAAAAAAACTGGATATGAGATGCCGAATTTATTTAATCATTAGACTCCGTTAACATACATCATGTACCTCGATATAACTAACTCTCCAACATCAATTGTGTGCATAAGCACAGTAAAAAAATAGGGGTCAAGGTGCCCTAGCAGACCACAGAATATTTTACAGGCAATAAACAAACAGAAACGAAAATCTATAATAAGACCCACATTTTACAACATATAACACCTAGAGATAGATTCACTAACTCAACAACTAGATTTCCTTTTCGACAGTGGAGAAATCACACCCCCCTGCGGATTATGCAATGAAATACCAAGCACGGGGAAATTAAAGATAAAGACAACCTTAATATGAGACAATTGATGGTCAAATCAACGCTTGCACATACACACCTCAGATCCCAGGATTAAGTTATTCATAAGTTTCCACAAAAAAGATCAGTAATATTTTAGCAGCAAATACCAGTATTCTGATTTTATAACAAGCATCGCAACAGATAAAACTATAACCCCACCAATTGTGGCGAAATCCACTAACAATGACACAAATGTAAACGAACGGCGTAAATCAAAATCCCAACATCCACCAATTCCGCACCAAAATTTCCAGACATCAGATAATAACATGACATAAGCAATTCAACAAAACCAGCAGATCCGAAACCCAAAAGACTAATTAACAGTCATCATACTTCAACCAAACAGAGATCACATTGCAATTAAAAAAAACAAACAGAATCCAAACAAATAAATCTAAAAAATAAATAAATCCAGACCTCCGGAAACGAAGAGCGGCTGCGATTTATGAAAATGAACACCACGAACGGGCCCATCGTGCTCGTCGAATCGATCAATAAGAGTCCCCATCCGGTAATCCCAGAGCTGGATCACGCCGCTGTGGAGACTCGCCAAGATCCATGGCCTCTTGCTGTGGAAGCTCAAGCCCTTCACTCTATTGCTCTTCGTCTCAAACTTCGTCAACATTTCTGCAATCCTTTGAAATCATACACTTACAAGGGGATAATAGAGAGAGAGAGAGAGGAGATCTGAATTCCGTACAACAATTCCGAACCCTAATCGAGATTTAGATCTATGGAAAATGGGGATTTTCAGAACAGGTGTGTGAGATAAGAAGGTGGTGTAGGTTAAGAGAGCGTAATTTCTCTGTGCTTGAATGTGGTGGATCTACTCGGAGAAGGGAGTGTTTGGATCCGATCCGAGTCGAGAGTTGAAAATTTAACCCGGTTTTATATACAACTTCTCATTTTACCCCTCAACTTTAACTCTAATGGTAATTTCCTCCCACATATTTTTAGTTTATTAGCCCTATTTGCCAAGTAATTTCTCCACTTCAGCTTTTTGACCCAAATAATCTCTATAGTAATTAATTAGTAACTAATTCATTAAATTAAGAAATTGAAAAAATACACTTGTATTCAAAGAAAATATATACCTAAATACAGTAGAATCTCGATAAATTAATAACTTCGATTAAATAATAGTTTCCCCGGGTCCCGACTCGGTGAAAACGTGTTAAATTATTAACTCAATAATATAATAATTCACTAAATTAATAGAATTTCCTAGTCCCGGCTGTATTAATTAATAGAATATTAATTGTATCAATTCAATTCGGATTATTTTTATTTGGTTTGGCTTTTAATTTAGAGGATTACAAATTAGGCAAAATGAGTTTTTTAGTCCTGTAAGTTTGCTAGTTAAGAGTTTTAGTCCACCATGTTTAAAAATCAGAATTTTAGTCCTGTATGTTACAAAAGTTGAGAGTTTTGGTCATATGACCTGCTATAACAGGTAATATGATGGTTGAATGAATGAGTTGACATTTAAAATATAAAAATAAATAGATTAAAAATAAATTAGGTGATGTGGCTATGAGTTGGACAATTTTGAAGGGAAATAAAATATACCATCAAATTATTATTTTTATTTGATGAATGAAATAAGCATTTTTGTAGTAACTACTTTTTAATTAATTTTTCATAGTTTTCAATTGATAAAAATAGTACTCGTTATGGATATTTGTTACTCTTAGTTTGCTAATATATTTTATGTTTGAAGGCCTTGAATACTTTTTTGGTACATTCAATTTAATAGAGTTTTGAATATATTTTATTATTTTTGTTAATTACTTCGTAAATGTGTATTTCATTTCTTATACCAATTATGATTGTGCATGTCATTTAACTTTATAATAAGGTTTCATAAAAGGTTTTTTTTCGGTTTTATGTTGAATTTGATTGTTGGTTCAATTTCATTGTAATCACTAAGTATAGATTTGTAAAAAATGAAATATTTAGATAAATGTGAATTTAATTATTATTTTTATCAAATAATCACTAAGAAATATTAATTAAACATTAGTTAGTCTTATTTCCTTCATAAAACTATAGTTGTCGATTTTATTAAATGGATTTATTATGGTTCTTTATTGCAAATATAACAAAAAAATTAAATATATAAATTAATATTTAATATGTTCAAATTTCCTATTTATTTTGGTGAATTTGACATTAAGGATCATTTTTTTCTCCAAAACCATCCAACTCATTAGCCACATCCTGTAATTTATTTTTAATCTATTTATTTTTATATTTTAAATGTCAACTCACACAACCAACCATCACATTACCTGATATAGCAGGTCATAGGACCAAAATTCTCAACTTTTGTAACTCACAGGACTAAAAATCTAATTTTCAAACATGGTGGACTAAAACTCTCAACTAGCAAACTTACAGGACTAAAAAACTCATTTTTCCTTACAAATTATACAATAAGTCAATTTGAACATAAATATATTAGACCATCCCGCAATGAAATGTTCGCTATTATACGAGAGTGTAGCAAGCTATTATACCAATATTGTATGTATGTAGAATTTATCACCATAAAAACAATTAAATGAATTTTTGATACATAAAAAATATATCTTATTCATTTTATGGATATTATGTTTTATGCATCATAAATTTACTAATTAATTGTTGGAAAGACATAATTTATTTAATTTGGTGTTGCTTATCGAAAAATTTAAGAATTTATAATTTAGTTACTCCAAAAATTTCTTAATAACTTACAAATATTCCAGTAGAATGATTTTATCCAACGTTAATTAAAAATGAACCTAAAATAAAAATATTCAACTATATTAGTTGTTCTTGTTCAGAACTATTTCAATGCTGTGGTTCCAGCCTTCCAGGAGCTACAATAACTTTATCATTCCACTTGGATGTTAAGCTATCCTGCAAATCAAAGGAAAAACGTTTCTCTTGTAAAATTACAAAACCTGGTTTACAACAAAATAACTAGATGTCAAATTACCAAAAAAACCTTTATGTTTGGGTAATTACAACCACCCCTGAATTATGAATCTTCTTTTACGTCCATTTTTGCGGTATCAAATTTAGTGGAATCTTCTAGATTATGAATATTCTCGAGTTTATACCCGTTTTACTCTATTCGAGTTTCACGTTTTGAAACAAGAAGATCATAAGATGAGTCTCTTGGCTTGTAACTATCAGATTGTGGTGCATCAAAAACTGCATTTTTTGCACAAAACGAGTTACAAACTAGAGAACATTCCATAGAATCGACCCTATAAGGATGGACGTATAAGAAAACAGATATGCTAAATTCCACACCAATTTTATCAAATCATACACACAATTGAAAAAATTTCTCTCTTTAAAATCTCATCTTCTCCTTCCACACCCATCTTCTTTTTCCGTAATTTTTTCACAAAATCACACACTAAAAACGTCTATATCATTCCAAGTTCGAATTTGGAAAAAATCTTTATATGTTCAAACTTAAATAAAGTTGGAATTTGAGATTTTTTTTTTAATTAATATGAATTTAAATAATTAAAAAAAACATAATGAAATTGAAAAATATTAAATAAACCTAAACTCACTTTTTATGATTATTCACGTGAAAGATCAACGAATTTTGAGTGACTTGGAAAAAATCATTATAAAAAAAAGTTAGAGAGAATATAAGTAGCGAGAGATTTTTTTTATTTATGTGTGGGATTTAGTAAATTTTAGTGTGGGATTTAGCATGCCCCATAAGAAAATTCATAGTAGAGAAATGTTATAATTATCCAAACATGAGGGGATTTTTCGTAATTTGACCCTCTCAGGGGACCGTCTTTTCTTTAAACATGATTTCAGGGCTATATTATATTGTATTTAATCTGAAATTATAAACAAATATTAATTTCATTCTTGAATTATGAAAAAGTTTCTGACCTTCTTCTCATTAATCATATGTTCAAGAGAATCAACCTATCAGGACATAAGGAGGATGTTAAATTAGGATAACAAAACCGAAAATCGAATTAAAGAAAATTAGAGATTAATTAAACGAACGAAGAACCTTAACGACGCCTCTCGGGCCTTGAATTTTATCAAGGGCCTTGTCAAGGTCCTCCTGCAGCACAATATTTTTTTTTTCTTAATTGAATTAATAATAATATATGATCTTATTTAATAGTAATAATATATCCAATTTTAAAAATGAAAATTAAATCATCTAAAGAATGCTCATTTTACCTTCCTTAAGAAAGCAGGATGATATAGGTATGGCTCTTTACCGCTATTTATTGTCAGTGTATCGCACTGCAAAACATGATTATTATTTTTTTTTTTATATAAAAAAAAGTTGGCTGATTATTTATTTATTTATTTATTACAAAAAAATTTAATAAATAAAGCTGTACCCAAAAAATTGGAACTCCAGAAAATGTGTCATCATCGGGACTGGCAATATGTTTATTTTGTCTATTCTTTCTCACCTGTGAATTGTAATATGCAAAACAAGAAAATAGAAAATTGCAGATTAAGAGAGAGAGAGAGAGAGAGAGAGAGAGAGAGAGAGAGAGAGAGAGAGAGAGAGAGAGAGAGAGAGAGAGACCTGGATGGCGTTTTTGACTTGGGATAAATCTGGAACCAACCTAATGGGAACACCGTAGCCTTCAAAATCAACAACCTGCAATTAAAATATATATTGTAACAAAGAGAAATAACACATATATAGTAACATGAAATAATTGATCTACTAAATGAAATAATAAAATAAATAAATAGGAGGGTATAGAGAATGTATATATATATACATCTGAAAGAGGAGTATCAATGACTTTGAATACAGTGGGGTCGTGACCAGTTAGGCGCAAATAATCGCGAGCATCGGGCCTAGTAATGAAGTAGAATTTAGCTTGTGTATCGGAAAATGTAGAAACCGTACTAACATCTCCTTGTGTATAGTTTGAGACTTTATAAACAGGGACTGCAGGCATGCGCTTCTTTATTTCTTCTTCATAGTTTTTATTATGACCGCCGCCGCCGCAAATTGGTGGTTCGTTGTATTTTGCCTGCAAATCGTTATCTGAAATGCTATTCATAGAACAACTTTTACCGGCTTGCAGTGCGACTTTATTTCATTTGTAACTTTTCTTAAGAAAATTCAAAATTCTCTCAAACCCTATCCAAGGTTCTTCGAGTTCTTGCGGATTAAACGAGCAATTCAACAACGATTAAGGTAAAATTCGAACTCGAAATCATTGACCCAATGTTTTTATAGTAGTATATTAACAAATTTCGTCGAAAATCTATACGTTTTGAGTATTTTGATTATGTTCGAAAGTTTTCGGAAATAAACTTACATTTCGTGTAGAAACTCACGAAATTAAGGGGCTAATTTCGTGTGTTTGTCCACGAAATGACAGTGAAACAGCACGGTTCATATTTTTTTTTTAAGATTTATTTTATTTATTATTATTATTTAGACTGATGTTAATAGTGTTTTATTTAACAGATGGCAGGCAAAGGGAAATCAAGTGCAATTATGCGAGCAGTTTGTGAAGAGGCTGAACATCAAGAGCGCGAGCGCGAGCGCATGACTATGTCTACACGACGTAGGCGAGAGGCTGAGAGAGCTGGTGAAGCCAGATCATCAGTTCCACATCCCGATGTTGGGTCTTCTCGTGCTATGGAGGAGGAGGAAGATGTGGACCCCGTTCACGAGACTGAGGTTGTAGCTCGTGGAGGTCGTAGAGGTCGTGGAGGCCGAGGACGGGGCCGTGGAGGTCGACCTTATACTCGAGTCAATCCGGATGTGCTAGATGGTCCATTTCCCGGTGGCCCGCGGGATCCGTCTTTAATACCGAGTTTCAAGTCGCACGTAGCGGCATATATTTGGAGGGGAGAAGTAAGTTAATTACTTGTTTTAATTTTAATATTATAATTTTTGTATCTTCTATTAAAATATTTTTATAGTTGATTAATTAATATGTTTTCTAAATAAATGATTGCAGGAACGTCCGGTTGGACGAGTGGAGTCCCGTATCAACTCCCTGAACCAATTCAACTACGACAAGATAGCAGATGCCCTAGAAGACGTAGATGTATCCGTAGACAAGGAGCACTGGACAGAACTGGATGCAGCAGTTTGCCGATTTACGTGCCAATCTTGGAGATATTATGCAGCCCGCCGCCCGATATCTTGGCATCGACCGTGACAACGACAACGACGACGACGATGACGACGACGATCATGAGGTGCAGCCGCCGAGGAGAGCGAGGCGGTAGTTTATCGGTTTTTTTTGCCAGTTATATATTTTTATGAACTATTTAATTTTAAAGTTTATTTTTATTATTATTAGGACTATGCATTTTTATTATTGTTAGGAACTATTTAATTTAATAATTTATTTTTATTTTTAATTAGGAACTAATTATTTTACTAATTTTGTTTATTATTATTACGAACTATTTAATTTACTAGTTTGTTGTTTTGTATTTTAATTCACTAGTTTTATTATTTGAATTTAGAAACTACGTACAACTGAAGCAATTAAAGTACATATTTAAACAACCTTACAAACAATCTTACAAATTTAATACATTCCAAAAACATAGATTAAACATATAAAATGCAAAACACAACGCTACAAATTTAAATATTCCAAAACATAAGTTTGAATGCAAAATTAAAACAAATATAAATTTAAACATAAGTTAAACTTTCAAATACCCGGCAGATGGTTATGATTACCATTACTCACACTCAATCGCCATAATCCATCCTCCGTTGATTTTTTGCCAATTAACCTGAACGGACAAGAACGTTTCTTCAATAGTCCGTGTCGTCTAGATTGATATCTTGCACACGTTAAAACATGATATTTTTCTGATTTACAATGATTAATCAGTCGATGATTATGACTAATTGCTGTGTCTTTTGCCCACATAATTAACGCTTCTCTACTATCACACACAATACCACGTTCAAAGAAGTGACTATGATCGTGAGATTGTTCTCTTAGTTCCTGCATAAATATTTAAAATTAAAAGACAATATTTAAGGGATTTCGTAAAAAAACATACGAAATGTAACCTACATTTCGCGTGTAAACACACACGAAATAATAGCTTCCATTTCGTAGGTTTTACCACGAAATGTAAGCTTCCATTTCGTGTGATTGTCTACGAAACAAACAACTAACGATTTTAAGACATATTTCGTATAGTATTACACGAAATGAAAGCATATATTTCGTGTGTTATGACACGAAATCTCTAAAAACGTTGGAAACGAACAAAAAACGTGTATTTTCACCTCAAAATCGAAGCCGTTGTCATCCATGTCGATAATACTTGTGCTCTAACTGATATTGGTCGAAAAAATAATAAAATTGATAAATTTTAAGAATAAAAGGTTGAGAGTGTTTGAGAGGGTATTTGGATAAGATTTGGAAAAGAAAAAAAATGAATTATTTTGCACTGCGAGTGGTAAAAATCGCACTGATAATAGCAAGCCCCAATCGTTATTCATTCTCTCTCTAGCTAAAATAAAGGAGATTTTCTATGTAGTATATATTATAATACTTATAGGGTCTGATTGGTTTAGGTAAATTGGTAAGTAAAAAGGTGAAATCTCCGTGTAATTTAATTTTCCTGATTGGTTCAAATGTAAAATACTGTGTAAAGTAATTGAGAGAAAAAGAGGAAAACTTTTTTAGCTAAAAATCAGGAAAAATCATTTTCCCCCAAAAAAATGAGGAAAACTGGGAAAAGAAACAATCGGACCTTTCATCTTATTTTCTAAATTACTTTTTTTTTCAACTCTTCGCCATTGTTTACGCGCCGCCACTTCTACCACCATCACCGACGCCGATTTTCCAACATCGTCAACAGCTCAGCCTTCCACCACCTCCTCGCCGGAGATCCGGCGACCATCTCCGACACCACACATCCCCTCGCCCAAATATCCACCAGAAGAACATGTTCGCTGCCGCCTCCACCACCATCAGCCTTCCACCGCCGACCTCCGCTGCCTCTCCACGCTGACCTTTATCGCCGACTCAACAGCACCGACCTCCACCGCCGACTCAACTCCGACCTCCGCCGCCACAACACCTGCAATCAGTATCACTACAGCCGACTCAACGCCGAGCTCCGCCGCCACAACACCTACAGTCACTACCGCCGTCGACCTCTCCACCACCGCCAACCAACCTCTTTTCATCGCTTGAGCATTTCCGATCGGCCATGTCTATTAAGCTCTCTTCTCCCCCTTTCTTTCCTCTCTCCTCCCTCTCTTCTCCTTCCTTCTCTCTCCTCTCTCTCTGAAGTCTTCTATCTCCCCTCTCTCTCTCCTCCTGTCAAATATTCTCTCTCTACTATGTCTTCTCTCGTGATGTGAGGTGATCTGCAGATTGGAGATAATTTTTATTTTTTATTATTTAATTTTAGTTTTGAGTAATAATTTAATGTCATTTTAAGTTTACTCATTCTTTTCCTTGAAACAAACAAAACAAAGGAAAGTAATTTTCTATGTATTCATTTTCATAACTATTTTTCTTATGAACCAATCACAATCAGAATTTCAAAAGTCTTTGATTTCATTTTCCTTTGCATTTTCATTTTCCTTATTTTGAAATCCATGAACCAATCAGAACGATAGCGTTTTTGAATATAGTATAAATATGTGCATACCTAATTGGATTTATTTTGCTTCCTTAAATATAGGAATTCCGTATAGAATACAACATATTTATTTATTTTTTGATCCCCTAATTAATTAATTTCAGCAATCTTATATAATTTCCTTTCATCCTATAGTAGTCATTACTTATTTAGGTTGTTGCCACTGAATCCGCTTGAACACACCACCTGCATGCAGAGATGGAAGAAGCATTAATATCTTCTAAATAAATAAATAATAAATAAAGGGGCAGACACACCGACCGTTAATATATATAGAGATCGATCTTACTGCTGTCTATATAGTTTGAGAGATCCTTAATTCAGAGATTCCTCCAATGGTCGGGCTCCGTACGGCGGACCAAAAGAAGACGGTGCCTGTTATTTGAAATGTTAGAAAAAGAACAAGTAATGCAGCAATATGATCAGAAACAGGGGAATTATATATATATATATATATATATATTTCCCCTGTTTCTGATCATATGTCGTTTGTACTTTATCTAATGTAACTCGGCAGAATAAATTAATTTGTGCACCATACATTATTTAGGGAAGTTATAACATGCATGCATGCATGACCATCTAGTAGTGGAATCCAACAGATCAGATCGAGAAAAACTTATTCTGATATTTAAAAAAACCCGAAAAATTGAAAATCAATGGGATTGTAGATCCGTTTTCATGTTCGGGTGCATGTCGTTAGTTTCATCCCGTTCAAAGGTAGTTTAATCTGTGTCAATTAAGATACGTTCCCCTCAAATTGTCCAATTGACTTTATCAATCAATATAAAGTCAGAACAAACTCGAGTATAAGTGAAAAAAGGTAGACACATTGTATTTACAGCTCCAAACAATAATGTAAAAGCAATTATCTATCCTGTAAACATATCAACTATCAGACAACCACCCGTAAGAAAACAGTTATTCTAGCACACGACACCAAACGATTTACAAAAAACCATCACGTATGAACTCATCAATCGGAACAACAGTACGACGACAAGGCATTAATTAATTTGCGAAATTGATCAACAGCCCAACCTCAATACAATACCAAAAAAAACCTAGCTCAATCGAGAACAAGCTCGAATCCATTAATTCACATACAAAGAACCATCGAAAATGCCTCCTATAATAGATCATTAAAATGCAATGCAATAAACTTTTCCAGTCAAGCATCTTATCCGGATCAATAGCGAGCTTTTTAGAAAGGGGCAAAATAGAGAGACAATGTACAGTGGAGGATCTACCGATCAACAAGCAACAATTTGACTCCAAATTATATGCAAGCAACATCAACGAAATTGCACCGAGCTAGCATCATCATAATTATCAGCACGTACAACTAAATTTAAGAATCATCGATTTCTTTATAAAAGAGCGTGAGACTGTAAAATTGAAAGATTATGTAGCTTGTCAACTGTCAAGACAATGCCAGTCAAATACAAATGCACACAACACATGTCCTAAAAGAGCTCGATAAAACCTAACTTAATCGAACAATATCACAAAGGCAAAAGCTATACCATGAACGAAAAAAAACTAAGGAATGGCTCGAATAACATCGTACTATTCCTAAGTTGTGCTTACCAGAAGTTCATTACTCAGTCATATTACTCGAGACTCCATATCTAGGGGCACGTACACCGCAAAACACCCGAAGCGTGGTAGCTTAAGGTCAAAACCGTATTCCTCTAATAATGCAAATTACGTCTAAATTAACGAAGAAGCTACGTCATTATGATGATTACGAACACAGTTCGGCGAGTGGCAATATCTATCCATCACTGAATCATAAATCTAACCATAAATCTAACCACGAGTTAGAAATTGAAGTAAATTACCAGAATATGCAGTAAAAAAAAAAAAAAAAAAAATCCGTCACTGAATCATAAATCTACCCCCAAACAAGTCAGAAGTTGAAGTAGATTTACAGAGTATGCAGTAGGAAATTTGAGTGTTTCATCTTCTTCTTCAGCGCTGCAACTTTTTTTTCCCATAGTGGAAATTTGAGTGTTTCAATGAGGTGTACCTTCCGACCACGCTTTGGGACATCATCGTGTTCCTTTTTCCCCCAGTAGAAGATAGCTTTTACAAATTCCAGAGCGATACTCATGTTTTTTTTGCTTGTCTGAAAATTTGATTTGAGTTTGAAATGATCGCGGGCAACTTTGGATTAAATACCCCTTCCCCTATTATCTATACTTATATTAATATAATCTAATTAAATGTAAGCTTATAAAAAATAAATTAAAAAATTAAGTACTTCCAATTTCGCTGTTGTTTTGAGCTAATGCACATCATAATAAAATAACTAAAGAAACCTTGGCATTAATTATTTCACCATTAATTATCTAAGGATTTGTAAGGGCAAATTAGGAAAAAAATAAAATAATAAATAATATATTGGAACTTTACAGCAACAAGTATTTTAAATATATGAAAAAAAACTCTAAAAATAAAATAAAATGGAAGGAGGGAGTAACATAAACAATATACATATTACATCATAAGTTATAATTAAATATATATGATAATATATTTTTTTGAAACATACCAAAGTTTGGAGCCGTTATTCAATTTACTAAACTAAAATGGAATAAAATTCAGAATTAAATCATTTCAATAAAGAAAATCACAAAATCTTTTCATTCATATAGGCCGGCCCACTTATCAAGAATGTTCATGAACTAATAAGTTTAACCGGCCCAATAATTACACTGTAACACATATATTCTGGTCCAATTAAAAGAAAGACCAAAAAAAAAAAAGTTTCAAAATTTAGGTTATTATAAAAGTAAAGACTGTGTGTATATATATTATATAGTCATTGACTGCTTAGCAGAAACCTTAAGAATTTCGTTGTAATAATTTATTTCCTGCTCGCTCTCTCTCCGGCGAATAAAAAACATGATGAAGTTGTTCAAATCAAATCAGACAAAGTCCGATCAAGACAACCCACGGTTTCAGAATGTAATGAAACCGAAGCCGTGTGAGGAGATCAAAAAGCGGTTAAAAAAGATTCATGCTTATAGATTGACTTACTCGAATCCATGTCATCGTGGTCTATACACTCCGATGATGTCCGATATCGTCGATAGAGCTGTTAATTTATACTTCTTCACTGAAGAAGATGCTCTAGCTTGTTTGAGCCAAGTCAAATCCGACGTTAGGATGGACTATCGAACTATTAGGGTTCCACTTTCCGAGGTTATATATATATATATATATATATATATTTCTATATATATATATATATATATATATATATATATATATATATATATATTTCTATTCAAGAATTAATAATCCCAACTATTGTAATTTTGTATGTACTATGTAAGATTATTGAGGCTGAGGGAGTGAATGCACCGGTAATGTTTTCTAGGATGGTCCCAGATGTTTGCGAAGTCTCGAATGCCATAAAGGTGAGCGATTATATACGACGCTTTTGAATTACCTGAAAATTCATGAGAAATTCATACAACCACAAGTACTAATTGTATCGAATTTTTATACTTCGGGAAAGAAATAAAACTGGTTTTCGCGGTGATAGTTTTTCCGGAGTTCCCATTTTCCATGTTCAGTTTCATTACATAGTTGGATTACCACAATATGATGTGTCAAAATTAGATTAATTATATAATTTTGTGAGGGTATATATGTATATACATAGTTGTATATATATGTTGTTTGGAAAAAAATACATAGTCGGACTAACCAAATATCAAATAAACGGAATTAATTATACATTTCTAAGTTCGATTAACCACATAATAATTAAATTTTTCTTATGAGGGATACAGTCAGACTAGCTCTTTAAAGGTGAGAGACGAAGAAAGCCCAAAAAACTCTTCGCCTGCTTTCTTTAGAAAGGTAAATTAAATTAAATATTGTATAGTTGTATATTTTTATATTTGTATGATATAATTATCCATTATCCTAGCTTCCTTCTTCCTTGTATATTGTACAGTCAGACCAAGAAAAAGCTTTACGCAACAAAAACAAACCGACGGAGCCGATACAGGTACAAAATTATTTCATCTATAAAATAAATAAAATAAATAAATATAAAACTTTATTGATCAACCCTGCTTAATTGAAAAATATATTTAATTTTTTCTCTTCATATTATATATGTTGTAGGTGACTGCTCTTGAAGATGTGATACAAGAAATGAAGGTGTAGAATATTAATTTGTTGTTTCCCTTTAATTTATATTCCATATAACCGAGAAATATAATCGTGATTAATTAAACATTAATTACGTACGTATTGCAGGATTGTTCAACATCGAAGTGGAATAATGTTGTTCTCATACCTCCAGGAAATAAAAAGTTCTTGAGACCAAATTGTCTCTTATCATTTATGGAAAAAATAGTCTCCTTAGATTGGTAATAATTAAATATTTTTTACTACTTCAATGGTTAATTACCACTAGAAACTTGTTATTCTGATTTCTTTTGCTAGTTCATTTAGCTTGAGAAATAAATATTTGATATTTGATGCAATTAGTAAAATAAATCAATGTCAAGTTTACATATCTTTCTTGCGGGACTAAAGATAAAATATTCTCAAAGTATTGCCAAACCTAAACATAATTAATTTAAGAATCTAAATACTTTATTATAATAAAAAAAAAAAACTAGATTTTTGGCATGTGCGATGCACGGGATTGGTGTAAAATTAATACAAAGTAAAGTTATTATTTAAATGTTTTCAGTTCATTTTGATGTTTGCTATCCATAAACATTAATTTCCATATTTACTAATTTAACTTTATATTTATAATAATATAAGATAACAACTAAATATTTTTCTAAATAACCAAATAATGTTACCATACATTATAAACCATTGACCTTTCTCATATTAAACCGATGTGTGACTCGGTTTGGAACTCAAAACATGCAATGTTATAATTTAAGAAGTCCAGTACTTTCTGCATAAAGTCACCTGAATTTGCATAAATATTTCAAGTGCAATCTCATTTTAGTTTGTCGAAAATAGAGGCTTAATATAATTGCTTTAGGTCATCAAAGTCGCGTTTGGATTCACCATTAATCCACACACCATTAACTTTATATTATTAGCACTCCCATAATTCCCATTGCTGCTTCTATCTATGCCCTAATTACAAACTATAATTAATTGGAAAAAAACACACCCGACTATTTAACTTATATAAAAAGCTATTGTTAACGAAAAATATTAAACAAAATATATGAAATAAGTATTAATAGAATAATAGGAAACCTTAATAATTTCATAAACCTCTTATTATTCGGCAGATTGATTTGCCTTATTATGCAGCTGATTTGAAATATCCCTTAAAATCCGCTAATCTCAATTAGCAGATTTTAGTTACTCTTATTTTATTTAATCAGTCTGATTTATTTATGCACCTGATTGATTTACCTTATAAGAAAAAAAAAAAAAGAGAATTTAAGTTAGGTACGTAAAAAAAAAAAAGAGAATTTAAGAAATAAAGTATACCCTATAAATTAATATTAAATAACATAACCAATTTAATCGAAAAATGGGTGGGAAAAATTAGTGTACGGTTTACCAAAAGCAATTTTACTTTTATTAATAACATGTAATGTACAATTGTAAACTAAACATTGTCCAAAAAAAAAATATTATATACTAATTAAATACGTGTACATATTTTCTATACAAAAAAAAATAGTCTACTCAGATCCACATAATTCAGATCAATTAATTAATAAAGAAAAAAATAGGAAAAAATATAAAAAGAAGGTTCCAAATTTAAGTTAGGTACGTAAAAATAAATAAGTGCGCATATTTTTTTTTCCGGCACAGAAACCCTAATTTTATTTCCAGTGACAGAAAACATGATGAAGTTGTTCAAATCAAATCAGACAAAGTCCGATGAAGACAACCCGTTTCACAATGTAATGAATAACATCCAAACCCAGTTCACCAACCTTTTCCGGATCCCGAACCCGAACCCGTCAAAGGAAATCAAAAAGCTGTTAAAAGAGATTCCTGTTTATAGAATGACGTACTCGAATCCATATCATCATGGTCTATACGCTCCGCTGAGGCTTTGTACAATGGAGAGAGCTGCTAATTTTTATTTCTTCACTGAAGAAGATGCTCAGTCTTGGGTGGACCGTGTCGAATGTGGGACCTACTATCAAACTGTCAAGGTTTCACTATTCGAGGTAAGTAGTACAGTAAAAACTCGATAAATTGTTAAATTAATATTCGACATATTAATAAAATCATTGAAATAATATATTTCCTCGACCCCACCGTAAGGATAACTTTTTAAAAAATATATCACTAAATTAATAGACTTTGGTTGGTCGTAACTGTATTCATTTATACATGTTTAATTGTATGTATATATATATAATATCAAAATCAAATTCAAGAATTAATAATATGATTATTAGTCTTCCTATATGTGTACTATGTATGCCAGATTATTAAAGCCGAAGAAGCGGATCTATCGAAAATGTTTACTACGGTTGTCCCAGAATTGTCTGAAGTCTCAAATGCCATAAAGGTTATCCGAAAATAAATTTCTTATTATAAACTATTTTTTTATTTACTAATTATATTTGAACCAGGAAATTTGTGAGAAATTCATAGTAATTAGATAGTAGTATTGCTTATATATTATCTGCAGGAAAGAAACAAGGCTGGTTTTCACTGTGACAGCTTTTCCGGTGTTCCTATTTTTCAGGTTCGGTTTAAATTTTGTCGTTGCCCCAATAATAACTGAGATTTTGATTAGTAAGTGAACTAAATAGCTAAATAATTTAATGTTTTGGTCCATGTAATAATTAAATTTCTTATATCGGATCTAGTCGGATGCTTTAAAGACGAGAGACGATGGAAGCCCAAATAACCCTTCGCCTGCTTTCTTTAGAAAGGTAAATACATTACATATTTTGACAGTCGTATATTTTCGTATTTGTAAATATCGTCATCCATTCCCTTGTATATTGTGCAGGCTGACCTAGAAAAAGCTCTACTTGACAAAAAACGATCGAATATAGAGGCCGAGCTCATACAGGTACCAATTCACCATTTCATTTATAAAAGAATGAGCACAAAAATAAAATGTTTATTTCGAAGAATTATAATATTCACATGCATGCATGATGTTGTAGGTGACTGCTCTTGAAGATATAATACAAGAAATGAAGGTGTGGGATATTAATTTATGTTGTTTCGCTTTAATTTGTATTTCATATAATTGTGATTAATTAAAAAGTAATTACATTGGTAATGCAGGATTGCTCAACATCGAAGTGGAACAATGTTGCTCTCATTCCTCCTGGAAATGAAAAGCTCTTTGGAAACGGTCTCTTATCGTTTCTTTTACAGTTTTGAAATTCATTTTTTTTAATATACTTATTTTCCGGTTTTCATGGGTAGAAATTATTATTTAATCGAGGTTTCTATTTTAGTCGTGTAAGTTAGTCTACTTAAGAATTTACTCTTATAAGTTGTCCCCTTTTGACTTCACATGCAACAAAATTCGTAAGTATATATCTTGGTGTCCAAAATTAATTACTGAATTGTGAATATTGTGTAAAACATATAGATGGAGTATATAAACTCCAATAGCATGTAATGTGTCAATTAAATACTGTGTATTCATTAGCTACCAAAACAGAGATGATTTATAAAGCATATGACATGTTTAATTTATATGGTAACGTCGATATAGAGACGAAATTACATGACCTAAAGACATTTGAAAAAAACCGTGGAAATGTTTTTGATTGATCTAAATCGTCTCCATACTGAAGAAAAATGTGAAGTTTGAAGAAACTTTTCGACAAATCAAAAGAAAACGCATTTTTCAAGGCCTAAACGAGATATTCAAAATAGTAATATGGCTCATGTTTTTTGTGTTAAAATATCATTAAATACTTCGATTTATTTTTTTCTTAAAAATTTTATTCAAAAATTTAAGAATACCGAAAATGTTTGTCCATAAATATTATATAAATAATTATTCTAGAAATTGTTTTATCTTGGTCTTTATGCCTTCTAGGGGTATTTTGGTCCTTTGCCGCCCAAAGGTAGCATATAGAATACAACTGATCTCTAACCCATGCACCCTAATATATTTATTTATTTTTTGATCCCCTAATTAATTGATTTCAGCCATCTTATTTAATTTCCTTTTATCCTATCGTCAGTACTTATTTTTATTTATTTATTATGTTTAGGGCCGTTGGATTGGCCACACCATTGTTGCCACTGAACCTGCTTGAACACACACCACCTGCAGAGATGAAAGAACCATTCTCTTTAGTAAATAATTAAATAAAGGGTTACACACACTGTTAATATATAGAGATCGATTTTACTGCTGTATAGTTCGAGAGATCCTTCAGAGATTCCTCCAATGGTCGGTCTTCGTATGGAGGACGAAAAGACGGGATCTATTTATTTGAAATGTTAGAAAAAAAACAAGTAATTCGGCAATATGATCAGAAACAGGGGAAATATATATTAATTAATATCGAATATTCGGTCTTGGATAAATTTCTATAGGAACATGAGACAACGGGATTTTAATTCTTAGGGGTTGTTTTCCACTCTAGTATTTTACGTCGTTTTTACTTCGTCTACTGTAACTTGGCGGAGTAAATTAAATTTGTGCACCATACATTATTTAGGGAAGTTATAACGACATGCATGCATGCATGACCATCTAGTAGTGGAATCGAACATATCAGATCGAGAAAAAACTTATTCTGATATTTAAAAAAGAAAAACGAAAATTTTAAAATCAATGGGATTGCATATTTACTCTTGGATGTAGCAATGACAAATTTCACCATACGAACAAAAAACGAGTCAGATTTACATGTACGAAATCACTGCACTATATTGAACAATTTACTAACACAATTTGTAGTCGTAAATTTAACAAGAATTGGTATTTGTAGCCGTACGTAATCACTTCGTTATTCTTCTTCTCTCTAATCCTCATTCTTCTTCTTGATCTCCTTCCTCTTATGATTTTTGGGTTCGGGCGGCCATTTGAGAGTTGGAATGATTACCTTTGTTTGTGTCATTTTTACACGTACGGGTAGAATAATCTTTTGTTTTCCTGAAAACTCGGGCTTTTTCTTATTCAGATCGAACAACATTTTCACGATAACCAACAGGCTAGGGTTTGGCTCTTCTATCGGCATACTGTATGTGTATATTTGTCTGCGTTTCTGCGTGAGAGAAAGAATTTCCTGCTCTCAAAATTCCAGAATTACTGCAACCACCGAACAAGGAAAAAATATAAACAAGAATTGAAGTATAACAAACTTAAAATGAAATTGGAAAATTTGGAACTCGATTGCAGAAACTAAGTGTGTGTCTGCGTCTGCGTGTGAGAGAGAATTATACGTCACATAAGAAAACAGGCGGGAAAATATAAGCAATGAAATCGGAAATACGAATTCGATCAGAGAATTGTGTGTTTCTGTGTGAGAGAGAGAATTACTGTGTGTGTGTGTTTGCGTGTGAATGTGTGTGTGTGTGAGAGAGAGAATAACAGAGATACTACTGTGTGTTCGTGTGTGTGAGATATATATGTGTGTGTGAGAGAGAAAATCACAGAAGATGAAAAACAAGATTGAAGCTCTCAAAACTCTCCTGATAATCATGCACATCAGAAAAGGCAAATAGCAAATATCAACGGAGACGATTCAGATGCACAGAGTGTGGGTGTTTGTGTGTGTTTGTAAGAGAGAGAAGAGAGTGTGTGTGTGTGTGTGTGTGTGTTTGTGTGTGAGATAGAGAGAGAAGAGAGAGTGCGTACGTGTTTGTGTGTGATAGAGAAGAAAGAGAGAGAGAGAGAGAGAGAGAGAGAGTACCTCTAAAATATGAACGAACACGATAACAAAATTTTGCTTTGCGGTTATACAGTTCAGGCGCGTGCGTGTATAATAATATTTTAAAATATAATAACAATTAGGGAAATTAAAACTTGAGGTTTAATATACAACATGTATGTTCTAATTTGATTTTGCAATTAGACCGGCCCACTCATCGAGAATATTCATGGACTAATAAGTTTAACCGGCCCAATAATTGCACTATAACCCACATATTCAGGTCCAATTAAAAGGACTCAAAAAAAAAGTTTTTTTAGGTTACGTACGTAATACGTGTGTATATATATTATATATATATATATAGTCATGGAGTCAGGCTTAGCAGAAGCCCTAACAATTTTGTTATAATAATTTATTTTCTGCGCTCTCTCTCTCCGGCAACATGTTTTTCAAATCAAATCAGACAAAGTCCGATGAAGACAACCCGTTTCACAATGTAGTGAATAACATCCAAACCCAGTTCAACAACCTTTTCCGGATCCCTAACCCGAACCCGTCAAAGGAAATAAAAAAGCTGTTAAAAGAGATTCCTGTTTATAGAATGACGTACACGAATCCATATCATCACGGTCTATACGCTCCGTTGTCGCCTTGGATAACAGAGATGGATGTTAATTTTTATTTCTTCACTGAACAAGATGCTCAGTCTTGGATGAATCTTGTCAGACCCGAAAACAGGACGGAATTTCAAACCATCAAGGTTTCACTGTCCGAGGTAATATATATATATATATATATATATATATATATATATATATATATATATATATATATATATATATATATATATATAATCACATTTAAGAATTAATAATCTGATTATATTAATCTTCCTAAATGGTTACTAGGATTGTCCCCGAATTGTCTGAAGTCTCGAATGCCATAAAGGTGAGAGATTACTAATTTCTCGAACATGAACTATTTAATTTACTAATTATGTTTGAACCATGTAATTTCTCAAACATTAACTATTTAATTTACTAATTATGTTTGAACCATGGTACAAGAAAGAAAAAAATCGCATTAGTGATATCTTAATTGTGGCCATATCCTACCTAATTGTTATAATATCAAAATTTGTCATTAAAATTTAAGTAACAATGTTTGTATTTTATATCACACATAACTCAGTTTGTTGTCACCAACATTTTTTGTTCACTCGAAAGATTATTTCTTGTAATTGGATCGTATTATTGCTTATATTCTACAGGAAAGAAACAAAGCTGGTTTTCATGATGACAGCTTTTCCGGTGTTCCTATTTTCCAGGTTCGGTTTAAGTTTTGTTGCCACAATAAGATTAGTAAATATAAGAGTAATTATGTAAATTTTATGTTTGTATATTTTTTGAAAAATTATTGGACTAATTACATATCAAATAAATGGAGTGCAAGTTAACGATTTTGATTAATAACTGACTTGAATATGTAGCCAAATGATTTCATATTCATGTAATAATTAATTAAATTTCTTATATGGGATGTAGTCGGATGCTTTAAAGACGAGCGACGATGGAAGTCCAAATAGCCCTTCGCCTGCTTTCTTTAGAAGGGTAAATACATTACATATTTTATAGTCGTATATTTTCATATTTGTAAATATCATCATCCATTTCCTTGTATATTGTGCAGACGGACCTAGAAGAAGCTCTCCGTGACAAGAAAGGATCAAATATAGAGTCAGAACTTATACAGGTATCAAATTATCATTTGAAAAGAATGAAGCCCCAAAAAAGTTGTTTATTTTGTTGAATATTTATAATCCTTCTTGAAAGTAATTCTTAAAATCTTAAACAATTTTGAAGGTGACTGCTCTTGAAGATATAATACAAGAAATGAAGGTGTGGAATATTTTATTTGTTTCTTTCCCTTTAATTATTTATATTCCATATAACGGTGAAATATAATTGTGATTAATGAAAAATTAATTAAAAAGTAATTACATTGGTAATGCAGGATTGCTCAACATCGAAGTGGAACAATGTTGCTCTCATTCCTCCTGGAAATGAAAAGCTCTTTGGAAACCCTCTCTTATCGTTTCTTTTACAGTTTTGAAATTCATTTTTTTTTTAAATTGCAGTTAGTTACTTTGGTTTTAATTGTAGTCATGTAAGTTGGTCTACTCACTAATTTACTCTTTTAAGTTGTCCAATTTTGACTTTACATGCAACAAAATTCTTATAATGTTTAAATAATCACATAAAATAAATATTAACAAAATACATTAAACACTACTTTTTTAATCAGTAAATATCTTAACACAAGAAGAATCAAATTGCAGTGCGCAGAATCAATATCTAACTATATATTAGGCTAAAGTCCAGTCAGATTACGAAAAAACCCCTCTTATTTTGATTATAACAATCACCCTTCAATTATGTTCCAGTATTGAATTATAAAATAAAAATAAGTGATAATTTCTCAGAGTTTTCCACCGGGAGGCACAAGGATAACATTGTTCCACTTGGACGATGAGCAATCCTGCCAAAAAAAATTAAATATATTTATATCATTACTTTTGCTCAATTTACTTAAGTACTACGAGATAACCTTGTTCATGAAATACGTAATTAGACGGTCGAGTAGAAGATAAAGGGGAAAAAGATACGCAAAAATAATACAGTAATACCAGAGTTTCCTCACCTTCATTTCTTGTATTATATCTTCCAGAGCAGTCACCTACAACATCATGTGAATATTATTATTACATAACATAAGCCAAGTGATTTACTCTATAGAGGTTTTACATATTTAAATTAAAAAAACAAAAAAATAGTTAAAATTGAAAATGGTAAATATCTTTTTTTATTAAACCAAGTTTGAATAAATAAATTGGCAATTCAAATTTTATAAATTAAATGAAAATGATTCGGTACCTGTATAAGCCCTGTCTCTATATTCGTTTGTTTTTCGTTACATAGAGCTTTTTCTAGGTCGGCCTGCAAAATATGTATGCAAGGAAGATGGATGATGGTTATATTACAAATACGAAAATATGGGACTTACAAAATATTTACTAATATACCTTTCTAAAGAAAGCAGGCGAAGGGCTATTCGGGCTTCCACCGACTCTCATTTTTAAAGCATCTGACTGCATCACATTTAAGAAATTTAATTATTATAAATGTCTTTATGTGCATAGATGTTCGTCTCGGAGCAATTCAAGCAAAATTGAATAATAATAATAATAATAATAATAATAGTAATAATATCACATCCTGGGAATTTAAAAGTACACATAATATGGAACAAATTAGAGTATTGGTTAATTTAGTAAATTGAACCTGGAAGACGGGAACCCCTGAAAAGGTATCACTACTAAAACCAGCCTTCTTTCTTTCCTGTAAAAAATAGCAAAATAAAATCCATCCTAGGTGTTAACCAAGTTCGACAGAAACTTGTCATCTGGTGTGTGTGTGTGTAATATAACCATTAATTTTTTTGAAATAAATAAAATAATAAAAGAAAAAAAAATCCATGATAATGTAGCAGAAAATTAGGTCCTGACCTGAAGGGCGTTTTTAACTTCAGACATATCAGGAACCAACCTAATATAAACACGTGGATCGGCAACCTTATCTCTCACAAACCTATTAACCGACTACGGCGCAAACATAGGTAAAAAATCTCCGACCAACCAATTACAAATAGATGACATCTGCCTATTGAACCCTACTTCCTCAAGTTCAATAATCTGTACATGTTTGTAGTAATATTTAGTATAGTAAAATTTAGATGAATAATAAAATTTGTTCATTTCTGGAATATTAATTAATAATTACCTCGGCAAGTGGAACCTTAGTGAGTTGAACGCCACCTAGCTCCCTGGCGATTTTTAAGGTGCTGTAATCTGCAGCTAAATACTGAGCATCAGCTTTATTTAAAAAGAATAAATTAACACTCCTATCTGCCACGTCAGACCTCACAAGGGGATGCCAATCACTGCATTTCATTCTATAAACCGGGACCTGTTTCAGCCGCTGTTTGATCAGTGGCAAGTTAGAATTAGAATTAGAATTAAAATTAGAAGAAGAATCGATTTTCATGTTATCTAATTGATCGACAGATTTTGCCTGTGATGGAGGCTTGGAAGAAAACCGGTTTGGGTTTGGGTTAGGGATCCGAAAAAAGTTGGTGAAGTGGGTTTGAAGATTACTGAATACATGATGAAGGGGGTTCTCTTCATCGGAGGATTGTTTTAGTTTGAAGAAATTCATGGCTTTCTTGTTTAGTAACTAACAACTAGGGTTCGGATTTATTTTGTCTAGTATATATATATATATATAAATAATTGAAATCTTTTTAGGACTCAAATACCACCTTCCAAGTAAAAGACCATATTCTACAGAAGTAAAATCATACCAGGGATTCTGCACGTACTTGATTTGTACTTCTTTCCAACCCTACAAATAAGCACAATTCTCAATTAAAAAAAATACAAATAAAAACAATTATATATTATATAATATAAATATATGTGTGTATATTACGTATACCAAACAGTAGGTTTTTTAGGGAACAGAGAGAAGAAAGATGAACTGGTTGAAGCCAAAAGAGCAATCTTCGCAACCTCCTCTTTGTCATGTCTTGAGCTGCCTCCAAACCAACTTCTCCAACATTATTCGAGCGATGCCGAACCGGTTTGCTTCTATTTCTTCTTCTTCAGATAATAGTAATTTCCTCCCACATATTTTTAGTTTATTAACCTTATTTTCCAAATAATTTCTCCACTTCTGCTTTTTGACCCAAATAATCTCTCGTACCTTGTATCATTAAAAAAAGATACACTTGTAGCCCAGCCCACATAATTCAGAGTCAATTAATTAATAAATAAATAAAATAGGAAAAGAAACAAAAAGAAGGTTCCAACTTCCAAATTTAAGTTAGGTAACGTAAAAATAAATAAGTGTGTACATAGAGAATCATCAAGACAGGCTTTGCAGAAACCCTAATTTATTTTCGCCTCTCTCCGGCAACAGAGACATGAAGTCCGATCAAGACAACCCGTTTCACAATGTAATGAATAACATCCAAACCCAGTTCAACAATCTTTTCCGGATCCCTAACCCGAACCCGAACCCGTCAAGGGAAATCAAAAAGCTGTTAAAAGAGATTCCTGTTTATAGAATGACTTACTCGAATCCATATCATCATGGTCTATATGCTCCGCTGACGCCTTGTACAATGGAGAGAGGTGCTAATTTTTATTTCTTCACTGAAGAAGATGCTCAGTCTTGGGTGGACCGTGTCGAATGTGGGACCTACTATCAAACTGTCAAGGTTTCACTATTCGAGGTAGGTAGTAAAGTAAAAACTCGATAAATTGATAAATTAATATTCGACATATTAATAAAATCATTTAAATAATATATTTCCTCGACCCCCATCGTAAGGATACCTTTTAAAAAATATATCACTAAATTAGTAGACTTTGGTTGATCGTAACTGTATTAATTTATACAAGTTTAATTGTATGTATATATATAATATAATATCAAATTCAAGAATTAATAATATGATTATTAATCTTCCTGTATGTGTACTATGTATGCCAGATTATTAAAGCCGAAGAAGTGGATCTATCGAAAATGTTTACTAGGGTTGTCCCGGAATTGTCTGAAGTCTCAAATGCCATAAAGGTTATCCGAAAACAAATCTCTTATTATGAACTATTTTTTTTTTATTTACTGATTATATTTGAACCAGGGAATTTGTGAGAAATTCGTAGTAATTAGATAGTAGTATTGCTTATATATTCTCTGCAGGAAAGAAACAAGGCTGGTTTTCACTGTGACAGCTTTTCCGGTGTTCCTATTTTCCAGGTTCGGTTTAAATTTTGTTGTTGCCCCAATAATAACTGAGATTTTGATTAGTAAGTGAACTGAATAGCCAAATAATTTAATGTTTTGGTCCATGTAATAATTAAATTTCTTATATCGGATCTAGTCGGATGCTTTAAAGACGAGAGACGATGGAAGCCCAAATAACCCTTCGCCTGCTTTCTTTAGAAAGGTAAATACTTTACATATTTTGACAGTCGTATATTTTCGTATTTGTAAATATCGTCATCCATTCCCTTGTATATTGTGCAGGCTGACCTAGATAAAGCTCTACTTGACAAAAAACGATCAAATATAGAGGCCGAGCTTATACAGGTATATCAAATCATCATTTCATATATAAAAGAATGAAGCACAAAAAGAAAATGTTTATTTTGAAGAATTATAATATTCACATGCATGAATGATGTTGTAGGTGACTGCTCTTGAAGATATAATACAAGAAATGAAGGTGTCGATCGAATATTTGTTGTTTCTCTTTATCTTCTATTTCATATAGCCGTACGTACGTGAAATTGTGATTAATTAAACACTAATTACGTTCATATTGCGCAGGATTGCTCAACATCGAAGTGGAACAATGTTGCTCTCATTCCTCCAGGAAATGAAAAGCTCTTTGGAAACGGTCTCTTATCGTTTCTTTTACAGTTTTGAAATTCATTTTTTCTATATAATTATTTTCCGGTTTTCATGGGTATAATTTATTATTCAAGCGAGGTTATTAATTTATCGAGGTTTCCATTTTAGTCGTGTAAGTTAGTCTACTTAAGAATTTACTCTAATAAGTTCTCCCGTTTTGACTTTACATGCAACAAAAATCGTAAGTATCTTGTTGTCCGAAATTAATTACTGAATTCTGAATATTCCGTAAAACATATAGACGGAGTATATAAACTCCAATAGTATGGAATGTGTAAATTAAATATTGTGTATTCATGAGCTACCAAAACAGAGATGATTTATAAAGCATATGATATGTTTAATTTATATGGAACGTCGATATGCAGACGGAATTACATGACCTAAAGACATTTAAAAAGAAACTGATGAAATGTTCTTTGATTGATCTAAATCGTCTCCATACTGAAGAAAAATATGAAGTTTCAAGAAACTTTTCGACAAATGAAAAGAAAAACGCATTTTTCAAGGCCTAAACGAAATGTTCAAAATAGTAATTTTAGTAGAAAGACGCTTCTCATCTGTCTCAAACGGCCCAAGCAACGAAACTCAGCTGTTTCCTAACAACACTGTTGTTTGATTTTGGTTTTGTAATGAAATTCACACGAGAAAAGACATGGAACACATATAATGCACGGAAAGAAAATCGTACACTTTGAACTCTGAAACGTACATCCTTCCAATAATGCACGAAAGGAAAAACCTAAACAACCTTAATTTCAGAGGTTTTTCGAGGGGCTATACGTATTTTTCAAAATCGTAACCTTATTATAATAAAGCTGCTACTTGTCATCAGCCTCAAACCAAACAACAAATTACCTCTGCCGTTTTTACTTTTATTTCTCATCATGGTACGATATATATGATGCCTTAATCTATATGCATTACCAACTTGAATCGAACAAGGTCGAAATGAGAATACTGAAATGCAGAGGAAAAAGACAGGCCGGCAGCACAGATAAGAAAGGGGGCATGCATTATAAGAGGAGACAGTAGTATTGCGAAAAAGTGTAAAAACCAATGTAGAGAGATCCAT